ATTTGGTTTTAGATAGTTTTCTGTTTGTAAGCTGACTATATATATTTCGTATAGCACATGAATAAAAGTGTGAGTTATCCTTTCTTTATCAAATACTTTATCAGCTATTTTTCTTTTATAACATTGTGGTATCAGAGCCTCTCGTAGGCCTGATACAGCATAGCTGCAGCTAGCTAATCTGTAAGACAGACAGAGAGTGATGGCAACAGAAAATACTTTTGTGCAACCTGCAATTCCTAGGTTCGATGGTCACTATGATCATTGGGCAATGTTGATAGAGAATTTTCTACGTTCAAAAGAATATTGGGGCTTGGTGGAAACTGGAATTTCAGTTGTATCTGCTGGAACGACACCAACTGAGGCGCAGCAGCGTCAAATTGATGAACAGAAGCTTAAGGACATGAAAGCAAAGAATTATCTTTTTCAAGCCTTGGATCGTTCCATTCTCGAGACGATTCTCAAGAAGGACACCGCCAAGGACATATGGGACTCTATGAAGACGAAGTACCAAGGTTCGACACGGGTTAAGCGAGCTCAATTACAGGCATTGAGGAAGGAATTTGAGACACTCCATATGAAGGATGGCGAGACTGTGAATGACTATTTCGCACGTACACTTACGATTGCGAACAAGATGAAGGCTAATGGTGAAAACAAAAGTGACACAGAAGTAGTGGAAAAGATATTGCGATCTATGACTCCGAAATTCAACTACGTGGTCTGTTCAATTGAGGAGGCCCAAGACACTAGCAAACTGTCTATAGATGAATTGCAATGCAGTTTGCTAGTGCATGAGCAAAGGATGATTAGCCCGGAAGAGGAACAAGCTTTGAAGGTGACTTATGGGGAATCTTCTAATCGAGGAAGAGATCATAGTGGCTATCGAGGACGAGGTCGAGGACGAGGAAGGGCAAACTTCGACAAATCCACTGTTGAGTGCTTCAATTGTCACAAACTAGGGCACTTCAAGTGGGAATGTCAAAGCAAAGAAAGCAATCATACGGAGATTTCTGAAGAAATGTTGCTCATGGCTCAAGTTGGAGATGAACAACTCCAGAGCGACGATTGGTTTCTAGACTCTGGTTGCAGCAATCATATGTGCAATAGAAAAGAATATTTTGCAGACCTCAATGAGCGATTTGCAGACAATGTGAAGCTAGGGAATAATGCAATCTTGGTGGTGAAAGGAAAAGGAAATGTGCGGCTGCAGATTAACAATCAAATACAGGTAATAACTGAAGTTTTTTATGTGCCTGATTTGAGAAATAATTTGCTAAGTGTTGGACAGCTTCAAGAGAAGGGTTTGACTGTGCTTATTCAACATAACAGTTGCAAGGTTTATCATCCTGAAAGGGGTGTTATCATGAAATCTGCGATGTCCTCCAATCGCATGTTCAAAATTGCAGCAGTGTCTCTAGCATCTGGGACAACTTGCTTCAATACGATAACTGAAGATGTTGGTCAATTATGGCATTGCCGCTATGGTCATTTGGGTTTCAATGGACTCAACACCCTACAGCAGAAAGAAATGGTAGTGGGTCTGCCGCAGCTGATAAAACCATGAAGAGTGTGCAAGGAGTGTTTGAATGGGAAGCAACAACGGGATCCATTCCCTAAGAAGAGTGCCTGGAGAGCTGAATTGCCTTTACAACTGATTCATTCCGATCTATGTGGTCCTATTCAACCAATTTCCAACAGCAATAAGAGGTACTTCATTTCTTTCATTGATGATTGTACTCGAAAGACATGGATCTATTTTCTACATGAGAAATCAGAAGCATTCAAGTTCTTTAAAGAGTTCAAAGTCAAAGCTGAACGTGAAGCAGGTTTGCAAATTAAGGGTCTTCGAACAGATCGTGGAGGCGAATTCACTTCATCAGAATTCTCAGATTTCTGTGCTGAAAATGGGATAAAAAGGCAGCTCACTGCTCCGTATTCGCCTCAGCAAAATGGCGTTGCTGAGCGAAAGAATCGTACCATTATGAATATGGTTCGAAGCATGATGATCGCAAAAAGTATCCCGAAGAGCTTTTGGCCAGAAGCTGTTAATTGGGCAGTTCATGTTCTTAATAGAAGTCCGACATTAGCAGTGCAGAGTAAGACACCAGAGGAAGCTTGGAGTGGAAAAAAAACCTTCTGTTGGGTATTTTAAAGTTTTTGGATATGTGGCTCAGGTGCATGTGGGATATAACTCTCGAACTAAATTGGATAAACGTAGTGTAACATGCGTCTTATTGGGAGTTAGTGAAGAATCAAAGGCGTATCGACTCTATAATCCCATTGATAGAAAGATAATTATTAGTCGGGATGTTGTATTTGAAGAGGATGGATGCTGGAATTGGGGAGAAGAATTCACAAGCTCAATTCAATCCGAATTGGATTGGCATGACAATGAAACTGATGCTGAAGGGGATAATGGTATGGAGGAAGAGATGGAAGAAGATGAAGAAGGAGCTGCACAACAAGATGAAGTGGCCCAACAAGAAGAGGAGGCTTGTGAACAACAACTTCCAAGAAGGCAGCACACTCAACCTTCTTGGATGCACGATTATGTAACAGGTGAAGGGTTGTCTGATGTTGATTTTGAGTCACATTTGACTGTCGACAGCGGAAATGATCCTATCCACTATGAAGACGCAGAAAAGAATCCAATTTGGAGAAAAGCCATGAAAGAAGAAATTGAAGCTATAGAAAGAAATGGAACTTGGTATTTAACTGAGCTTCCAGGAGGTGCTAAGAAGATTGGAGTTAAATGGATCTTCAAAACTAAGTGTGATGAGAAAGGAGATGTCAGTAAGTATAAAGCACGATTGGTGGTTCGGGGATATACTCAAGAATATGGAGTAGATTACAAGGAAGTGTTCGCCCCTGTAGCACGCATGGAGACTATCCGATTGGTCATTGCTGTAGCTGCTCATCATGGATGGCCCATCTACCAATTGGATGTCAAATCTGCCTTCTTGCATGAGGAATTAACTGAAGATGTTTTTGTTGAACAACCACAAGGATTCAAAAAAAAGGGGGAAGAAGGAAAAGTATACAAGCTGAATCGGGCTCTATATGGCTTAAAACAGGCCCCCCGGGCTTGGTACAGTCACATTGAAAGCTATTTTTTGAGCCGTGGATTTGTAAAATGTGAGTATGAACCCACTTTATTCACTAAGGTGGAGGAGAACAGTATTATGGTGGTAAGTTTGTATGTGGATGATTTGATTTATACAGGGAATGACAATGAGTTAATGATGGAGTTCAAGAAATCAATGCAGTCAGAATTTGCTATGACGGACATGGGAAAAATGAAATTCTTTCTCGGTCTTGAAGCAACACAAAAATCTGATGGTATTTTTGTGTGTCAAAAGAAGTACGTGATAGATCTTCTAGAGAGATTTGGAATGAGCAATTCAAATTTTGCTCATAATCCGATGGTTTCAGGAAGCAAATTAGGCAAGGATGAAAAAGGAAAAGGAGTTGATAAAACACTCTACAAGCAGATGGTCGGTAGTTTAATGTACGCAACTGCCACACGGCCAGACATCATGTATAGTGTGGGTCAAGTTAGTCGGTTTATGGAAAATCCAAAGGAGCTTCATTTTCAAGCAGTAAAGCGAATCATACGCTATCTCAAAGGAACTTGCGAATTTGGATTATTCTATCAAAGAAATGGAGGAAAAGATCTGATCGGTTATACAGATAGTGATTATGCTAATGACGTTGAAGACAGAAAAAGCACATCAGGCTATGTTTTCATGATGAGTGAGGTTGCTATCTCATGGAGTTCGAAGAAGCAACCGATGGTGAGTCTATCAACAAGCGAAGCGGAATTTATAGCAGTCTGCCGCAAGTTCTTGTCGGTCGTGTGGCTTAGACGAATACTTGAGGCAGTAGGAAGAAATCAAACAAGCCCTACTATTATCTATTGTGACAATAGTTCTACCATAAAGTTGTCAAAGAATCCAGTTATGCATGGGAGGAGTAAACACATCGATGTACGTTTTCATTTTCTAAGGGATCTTACAAGGAATGAAACTGTTGAGCTGCAACATTGTAGTTCACAAGAACAAGTAGCTGATGTCATGACAAAGCCGCTCAAGCTGGAAGACTTTGTTCAAATGAGAAGGAAGTTAGGAGTTGTCGCAAATGTAAACTGAATATGTGTGATGATTTAGTTTAAGGGTGGGAATATTAGATATATTTGAATAAGTCTCCAACTGTTACTAGAATACTGGAGGTTGTTAGCTTGCTTTGAATAAGTCACCTAGTTTTACTAGAGTTCTGTTTCCTTATCTTTTGGGTAGTTGCGGGATATCAACATAGTAATTTGGTTTTAGATATTTTTCTGTTTGTAAGCTGACTATATATATTTCGTATAGCACATGAATAAAAGTGTGAGTTATCCTTTCTTTATCAAATACTTTATCAGCTATTTTTCTTTTTTAACACTAATCGAGAGCATGAAAGTTTATCTCAAAGTTAGAAATTTTAATTTATAGTATTTGAGAAAATAATTTAAATTATAAAGTAAATTATTTTTAAAATAAAATAAATTTTATTTGAGAGATCAATTTTAAATAGGGAATATTATATTTAGTTAAGATTTATATAATTATCAAATGTTAAACATTTACTTGGGAACCAAGATCCAAAATTTATTAAAAATTGAAAGATTAAAAACATATTTTATCCTAGTTTAAAACTTAAAAATTGAACGTCGTATAATTTATCCTAGTTTAAATCATAAAAAATTAGAAATTTATACCTTTAAGTTTTAGGCCGTATGCTAACGGTCGTATAATATTACACTATCATCTATGTGAAAATGCATAATAAATTTGTTAAAAAGTGATATGTAATATGTAAAAACTTTTATTGAGAGATATGTAAAAGAGTTTCATCACAAGAGTAAGGGTAGCAACAAAGTTTAGAAAACTAGAACACTACGTATGGCAGCATTGAAGTCAAAAGCTTCTGTTGAGTGGAAGGTGAAGAGAAGAAGTGAAATATTAACAAAAGTACATGCTCTCCATGAGTTGTTGGGGAAGAATTGGTAATGGATGTGCAGCAGACGATGTGTCTCCACCATGCCTGAGAGAAGCCTTACTTTGTTTATCACACTTCACAAATTTTGCCATCTGTCTAGCGGCCAAGCGCGCATAACAAAGAGGAGCAACTGCAATCATAAACAAGAGTGGATCATAATCACATTCATCTTCTTAAACTTGTATATCTATTCATAATGAACTTATTGAAAATTTTACCTAATGATACAGCAGATGTGCTAATTTGATACCTGTAAAAGTTTAATAAAATCCATTAATTAGTATAAAATTCAAAAGGGTTGCCAAAAATATTTGTAGAGTTACGTAACTTAACAAAAAAAACTAACTCGATAACTACATGTACTTACGTGTAAGATAGAGAATGCACGAGTTCCTGCAGTTCATCAGTTGAGAACCCGATTTCATCGTGTAAAACATGGTAGTGAACAGGTCGAGTTGTTCCGTGTTGGCGGGTTGTTTCCTGTTGGCAAAGACACGTTTGTTACAGTAGAAATTATGAATATATAATTTAACTTGAATCAGGTTAAATAAAACATTACTTTTTTTATCTTGTCCCTAACTTGAGCACACAAGTAGAAGTCATTGTTTTTGGGATCACAGACAGTGCTGTCAATTACGGTTCCTACAGACAACAAAATATTGGGTCTTAGAAATTTAAATCCACATTTGTATTCGCTTTTTTTCTTTTTTCTTTTTTTTTCTGTTGAGGTGACAAACCAATTGGAACATTATATTCTTCATCTTTGGGGTTGAAGAACCTAGTATGATGATTCTTTTGGGCAACAATTAAAGTGAACTTTGGATCCCAGTCTTCGTCAAGTAATTTGCATGCCTGAAAACCCAATTTCAATTTCAGTTCAGAGAATAGTATACAATCAAATCAGATATATAATTTAGTCAGAATGAATATATATACCTGTATTATTTGATTCAACTCATCATTGAGTACTTGCTTGAACTGTGATTCACTCACTCCATCCCTAAAATGACAAACATCTATTTAGGTGAATACCTATTTAAGATAAAATAAAACAGTGCATATCTTTCATAGAATAATGATGTCCAGAGTTTCTAATTGAGAAAATGGTAAAGAGATACTAGTTATTGTCTAGCAGAGAACAATCTAAAATATAATATAAATAATGGTCTTGACTAAAAATTTTGCACACGAATATTGCACAAGAAAACATATAAAGATAAAGAAAGGAATGTTGCACCCGAATTACGGAATTCAAAACATAAATTTACAAAGTATACATTTTAAAAACTTTTTTTTTCTTGACTAAAATCCAGATTATTGGAATTTAATTTAACTGCACCTGAAAATGATAATTTGTTGAGGCTTTATACTGTTTGAACTTTCGAAACATTCCAATAGTATCTCCCTACAAATTGATACACAAATGATTGGTAAGTGAGATATAGACAAACATACAACTATAATTTACATAATTTTAAATTTGCATTAGAAAATATGTTGGCACCTGATGATACCCTTATCCTCTGAAGGATAATCAGCGTCATCAGACATGAACAAAGATTGAATCATCTGATTTTTTGCAGACTGTGCACGGACAGCAGCTCTATAACGTGTAATTTGAGGCCAACATCTTGAGCTCGCAACCTAAGTATACGACATAGGTTAACGTTTCATTACTCTAAATGGGACTGAATATATCAAACTTTTTGTGAAACTAACATGATGCTTCATGCATATAACATACCGCAGCAATGGAGGGAACATTAGATCTAGCAGGAGATCCATGAGAAACATGCATACCAAGAATTAGGGTGGGTTTATCAAAAACAATTGGAATTTTCTTCTCATGCTCCCTTGACAGATTGGTATTCATCCCGCCAAACTGCATTAAAGTAATTAATTTTTGTAAGTACTTTTTCATAAACACTTTTAGTTATAAAAATTCATCCTATTAAACTAACATTAATGTCATAAATGAGTTTAGTTATAAAAATTCTCTTTACAAATTAACAGAAGTATGTAACGTCGAATATATATACCTTTAGATTGATTTTCAAGAGTACATTAGTAATGTACCGACGATCAAATTTTTGTTGTGCACTAATACACTGCGTTACAACCCCGTCATCAACTGAAAATTTCTTTTTCCACGGACCTACATTTTACAAACAATAGGATTTTACAGCAATCGATATATGTTGTTTGAAAAAAGTTCACCAAGTAACAAACAAAAACAAAACCAGTTGAGCTTTGTTGTTCTTACCGTAAATATCAGAATTCTTGTTTGGAAGAATACACAGCAGAAAACTAGGTTTTCCCGGAAGAGTCTTGTGCAGCTTTTTATGCATTTGTTCTACCCTGACATGTGCTGGTTGATTTATAAATCTGAAATTTTCTTCAATTACCTTGTTGTGTAGTATATTCTTCATGTTCTGCAATGAAATAATACATATAGAATATCAATAATGATTACTGCTATTTGAAGAGTAACTTGAATAATTTTAAAGATAAAAAAAGTCAATTCCATTATTCTTTTTATCTTACGTGATGAGTCTAGTTCTAAAATCAAATCAAACAAAAAAAAATTTAATGCAAACCATTCTTTAGTACATTATATAAGGATAAAAAATTTAATTTGAATTGAAAAACAATCCTTATAGAATTATGATTCCCAATTATATATCGTCTCATAATTCAATCAGAAATTTAGACTAGTAGATGCAATTCCGAACTTTAGTTGACATCTTGCGAAAACTTACCATTCCTATAGCAGCACTAATTTCCTCAATGTTTTGTATCAACAGTGTTGTGTCACACTCACTTGAGAAGCTTACAACGGCCCATTTATCAATTGTCATAGGGGCAAATAGTTGCTGAAAGATGATAGACGATACCCATTGTTAAAATAATAACCCTAAACATTAAACTACATAAAACATTAACGTAAGATGAATGCTTAAAATAAACACCTCATCAAAAAAATTCCAGCGCCCATTGAGGGGAGTGATGTCCCTTTTGTTTCCGACTACAAGCTGCAAAAACATATATTGGCATGAAAAACTACGTCATCAATTCATGCAATAAACAAAATAAAAATAAGAAACTGGCCATTTTCCATAAACTTTTCAAAGAGAACATGTAAAAAAAAAATTAAAAGAACTTTTACAATGCTCTTAACTTGTAACCTTAAACATGTTTTCTGTTTTTAAAATGTAGTTGTGTTTTCTTTTTGTCCTTTTTAAAATTAATTTATATTTTTTATAGTTCTTTTTCATCTAAAATGAAACAAGGCCAATTTTTTTTTCTACAAAAACTAAAAATCAAAGGAAATTGTTAAAAACAAGCTTAATATATAAACTTAACTTACATATAAATTAATTTAATTTATTTAAATAGGCAAACTTATCATACCTTTGGAGGTTGCAATACACGACCCTCAAGTTGGGTTATGTTAAGATCAATGTTAATGTCAAGAGAGCGAAGCATACATTCATCCTCATATTTGTTGCTTCTTAATGACTGCAAAAATGTTAACAAGCAGTTCATACAACATTTAGAATGTACCAAAAAAACTATTGAAAAAAAAGTGTTACTGGGTTACATAATTTTTAAGATTTTCGTCGTACTTTTTCAACATCAGCTTTCCTTTCTTTGGGACATTGCCTTGTCTTTTTCACTACCTGAGCCCTTTGCAAATTTGTCAGTGCCTTGGTGTACCGCTGCATGGAGACCAGTACACATAGCTGCAAAACAAGTATAGAATTACATTATGAAGTTCTCCAAAATGGAAAATGTGTACGAAAGAAAAACATATTGGAATAAATTATATTAACCGCCTCTTAAATTTCGTACACTACATAAATGCTTCTTTAACACTTACAATAATATCCATTAGTAGTACAAGATGTAACGTTTTTCAAATGCATGAAGGGGTTAATGTAATGTAAAAAGGATATTTGCGTAATGTTTTTTAAACAATCAAAGAAGTTATTATAGAGATAGGAAAACTAAGAGTGTTAATGTAACTTATTCTACATCGACATGAAAATATACAGATCTTATCCACGTTTGACAACAAATAAGGAGATTAAAAAACAAGTTGTCTCTAAAAAAATTTAGTGATATGTGGATATTTGTTTTAACACCTCTATTGGAAAGTAAGACGGGCGTTGTGGTGTGGCAACATTGATGCACGGAATATCAGCTGAACTATGCAGGCTAATCATTTTATTGTTCGTAAAGTAGTCATAAACTGTGATTTCATTTTCGTTCTCTTCATCTTTTTGCCTTAATAGAAATCTGCAAGAAATAAATAAGCCCCATTATTTGCATTGTATAGAGTAAAATTTCCATGGTTACAACGTATCAAAATTAAATTTATTCTAATAGTGAGTAAATGGAGAAAAAATACACAAGAAAAACATACTTCTGATTCCTGCAAGTGTAGTCACTCAGTCCAGTGATTTTGAATTCAACGCCATTAACCTCGATTCTAAGGTTCTTAAGCATTCTTTTTGCCTGAACAAGAATAATCATAAATTTAACGGCCACAGTTTCATGTAGTACATATATATGAAACCTCTACTACTAGATATAATGGCAATATATATCTGTCTATCACCTTTGTCCAGTTAATGTTTTCAATCTTTCCAACATTTTGACTCTGGAGAAGGAAGTCCACCACAGGTCCAGGCTTTACAATCATTGTATTCGACACATCTTTAAAGAAAGACCATCAGAAGTAAAGAATCAGTCATATAAAAGTAGCATAAATTTCCAAGAATACCACTTGAGAATCTTACCAACGTTGAGAGATAATCCTCCTTGTGTGGCTCGAAAGGTCGAGCGAAAACCACTGCAGGCTTGCACACCACCTCCAATATCCTTAAGATTTATCTCATTATTTTGAAAGAAGGAATGGCGAACAACGAGGGATCCCCTGAAAAGAATACAGCTAGACTAAATACTATTTCAACTTTCAAGTTAGAGAAATGAAAACAACATAATCTATAATACGCACTTTAGATTACTAGTTAACATTTATTAAAAACTATAAGATATTGAGTGAAAGTCCTATTTTGGTTTGACATACCTTTCTGCATCATGCTGCCTTAGTACCATGTTTAGAACCTTCAGTGATTCTTGAAAGTTTCTAGAATTCTGACCACTCAATGCATTTGCAATTTCATGCAATGGAATTTTAGTTACGTAGTTGATATCCACAATGATAATATTCAACCGATATTGTGATAGTTTTGCTGCATGCTGTCTCTGTATGATGTTTAGAGCATCATCAGGTGCTTCCGAAGAGTTTCGAGAATGCTGATCATTCATTGCATTCTCAATTGCTCGCAACGGAATTGTGGTCTCGTAGTTTATATCAGGGCGTCCAATCCTTCCAACCCTGAAACAAATAATACTCTTCTGATAAATACAACACAGAGCACGCTATACACATAATTACAGTACTATTATGATGACAACATTGCTTTTCTTGTTTACCTCCTTGATAAATTTTCTTTTAACTCAACAGTATATTGTTGCTTCTCACATGGTAGAGGATCAAGAGTGAATAAATTTTGGCCACCGTCATATGCAAAACTAAACTCTTCCAGCTCAGTATTTGTTCTCCAAACCTCAGCTAGAACTTTTCTCCCTATACCCTTGGCTTGAACTGATTTCCCATCTTCATAACGCAAGGCAACCTAACCAACAATGTGCATAATTGTTTATGGTGTTAAATCGGGAAGCATTAATATAAAGATATGTTTCACATGCACATGCAAACACACACAGAAGGTATGGTAAAAGGAAAAACAGAAAGGGGAAAAATACATCATAATGAAAGAAGTAGCCTTTGTTCCTCCCCATATCAACTCTAAAATGGTTAGTGAGAAGCTGTATCCTCTTTCCCAAAGATCCAGTTCCTCTCCTGGCCATAGGCAAACGTTTAGGGGCCTCCATATCTAAAATCCTGCTGAAAGAAAAGATAGAAAGTAATATTATTAATTTTTTTGTAATGCTAATTAATTTAGGCACCAGTCGAGTGCAGTGCCTCAATAATACAAGTTAATAGAATTATTTTAACTATTTTTATCTGCATAATATCACTACTCTTACACATACTGCTTCAGCTACTCTGCTTCTAACAGAAGCAGTCTAAGTAATAACATAAGAAAATCACGACACTGGAGATGCTATTAATTTCATGTTTAAGGTATATTTCGTTAAAAAATAAATTTTTTTAAAATAGTATATTAAATATTACAAGAAATAAATGCACAAATTGCATCTTCCTAATAAAATATCAATTGCCACAGGAACAAAAGGCATGGACGTGATCCTGTCCAAGCAAATTGAAATATAAAAAATCTTCAATAATTAATTAGTTAAAAAGAAGAAGGACTAAAGACAGAAATGAAAAATCAATTAAAATATTAACTTAATAATATTGATTTTAAAAACTAAAAATAAATTTGCATGGAAGCATTAACATTGAGAGCATTAAATTAAACGTTCTAAAATAAGAAACTCTTTATCGTTAGTAGGTAGTTGAGAAACGAATGAAAATCTACGGAAGAAAAAGAAACAAATAGATTGAATAAAGATGCATCCGAAACGATAATATCGGTATATTTTATGCGTAATACTTTGATTCAACATGTTAAAACCATTGTCAAGTAAGTAATCGAGTAAAGTAAAGATAATATCTATGTTTATGTTGTTCTTCAAAAAGAAGAGTAATAAAAAGGAAACAAAAATAATATGAATGAAAAACAGAACAAAACAATTCGTAGATAAGAAAATGAAAGAAGCAATAGAAGAACTACGATTAAAGTGCAGAGTATGAAACAGAAATGAAAAACACTGATGAATGAGTGTGAGTGTTAGTGTCTCTCTTTTTCTCTTACAAAACCAGAGCAATTGAAGTGCATAAACAATGAAAAAATGCAGAGAGAATGAATGAATAATTAGGGCTGAAATGTTATAACGCTTCAACTTACAAGAGTGTTGATTGAAGAGGCAATGAAACAGAAAACAGAAAACAGAAACCGAAAGCAAGTGGAACGTAGAGCGTGTGAGTGAAAGTGCCTGGGTCTCTCTATTTATAGTGTCGCGTGTGTGTCCAACGCCATGGCGCTTTATTTACCTTCCAACCAATCATAAGCTGCCACTTATTCGGAATTAATTTATATTTTTCTTATAATTTTTTAATGATTTTTCAAAAATATTGTTCTGCTATTAATATTTTGAGGTACAACATATTTTAATTTCATATTCATTTTTTTTTCAATTAATTAAATTATTTCTTGCATTTACCTTCGATGAATAAGTTTAAATATGTATATATATATATATATATATATATATAATTGAAAATATTTTAAGAATTTCTACTGTTTATTAATTTTAATTTTCACGTGACGCGTTCTAAAAATACACTAAGATTATTTTTTTAGAACAATTTGGACTATTTAACATTGACTTTTATACAACTACAATAAATCGAATAATACAGTTAGAAAATACACGTTAGATTGTCAACTGTAGGTCGACATTAACAGTTTATCCGACAACATTAATAATAGTGACAACATTTATGGATTGGAAAAACAAAAATGGGAGACAAAAATTCTAGGTTTAAAGAAAAATATTTTGAATCTTTAATTTATTTGTAAAACTTTAATTTCATAATGGTTATTCAAGTTCTCGTGAAACCTAAACGTCATAAAAACAAAATAATTTTATCATATAAACTAAAATAAGAAACTGATAATTTTATAAAAATTCTAAATATGTTTGAATTTATTAATTTATCCAAATTTTTAATTTAACTTTTCTGGAATAAAGTTAAAAGAAATAAGATGTCACTAATTGATAAAAAAAATTATAAATGAAGAATATCTAACGTATATTCAATAAATAATTTAATTAAAAATGAATGCGAAATTAAAATATTTTTACCTCAAATTATTGATATGACAAGAAATTTTTTGAAAATTTATTAAAAAATATAAGAAAAATATGAATTAATTCCGAATAATAGAGTGGCAGCCTATGATTGGTTGGCAGGTAAATAAAGCGTCGTGGCGTTGTACACACACGAGATAAACAGTGACTCTCTCACACAAGCGACACTATAAATAGAGAGACTCAGGCACTCTTGCTCACATCACACTTGCTTATGGTTTCTGTTTTCTGTCTCATTGTCTCTTCAACCAACTCTTGTAAGTTGAAGCGTTATGGCATTTCCACCCTAATTTTTCATCCATTCTCTCTGCACTTCAATTGCTCTGATTTCTGTAACAGAGAAGAGAAAGAGAGACACTCACTCTCACTCTCACAGTGTTTTTTTATTTATTTCTGTTTCATACTCTGCACTTCAACCGTAGTTCTTCTATTGTTTCTTTCATTTACTTATTTCCGAATTGTTTTGCTCTGATTTTCGTTCTTTTATATTTATTTCCTTTGTATTGCTCTTCTCCTTTTGAAGAACAACATAAATATGGCTCGATTACACGTTTGAAAATGGCTTTAACGTGTTGATTCATAGTTTTACGAATTAAAATGTACTGATATTATCGTTTCGGGTTCATCTTTATTCAATCTATTGGTTTCTTTTTCTTCCGTAGATTTTCTTATTTTAGAACATTTAATTCAATGCTCTCGATGTTAAATGCCCCCATGCAAATTATTTTTAGTTTTAAAATTAATATTATTAAATCAATATTTTCATTTCTGCCTTTAGTCTTTTTTCTTTTAACTGATTAATCATTGAAGATGTTTTCAATTTCAATTTGCTTGGACAGGACCACGCCCATGCCTTTTGTTCCTGTGGCAATTGATATTTTACTAGGAAGATGCAATTTGTGCATATATTTGTTGTAATATTTAATATCCTATTTTAGAATTTTATCTTATTTAATGAAATGGAAAATACTATTTACACATCTGGTTTCTTCCAAACATCCTTTGAAACGTCAATTTAACAACTGATTTTAATATTATAATAATAATTAAAGTTTAGTTTTTTATATTTATTATTATTATATTATTAAATTGGGTTGTATAATAGAAGGCTAATATCATTCCTCTAACGAAATATACCGTGCAATTTGCATTATTACGTTATTACTTAAGACTGCTTCTGTTAGAAGCAGAGTAGCTGATCGGTATTTATGAGACTGGTGCTACTACGCAGAAAAAATAGTAAAAATATTCTACCAACTTAATTTGCATTAAGAAAATTCAATAATATTATTTTCTGTCTTTCCTTTCAGCAGGATATTAGAAATGGAGGCCCCTAAACGTTTGCCTATGGCTAGGAGAGGAACGGGATCTTTGGGAAAGAGGATACGGCTTCTTGCTAACCATTTTAGAGTTGATATTGGGAGGAACAAAGACTACTTCTTCCATTATGATGTATTTTTTCCCTTTCATCTTTTTTTCGTTTGATCATATCTTTATATTAATGCTTCCTGAATTAACATCATGAACAATTATGCACATTGTTGGTTAGGTTGCCTTCCGTTATGACGATGGGAAACCAGTTCAAGCCAAGGGCATAAGGAGAAAAGTCCTAGATGAGGTTTGGGGAACAAATACTGAACTGGAAGAGTTTAGTTTTGCATATGACGGTGACCAAAATTTATTCACTCTTGACCCTCTACCATGTGAGCATCAACAGTATACTGTTGAGTTAAAGGACATTTTATCAAAGAGGTAAACAATAAAAGCAATGTTGTCATCATGAAAGTACTGTGATTATGTGTATACCGAGTTCTTTATGTCGTATTTATGTTTTCCAGGGTTGGAAGGACTGGACGCCGTGATATCAACTACGAGACCACAACTCTGTTGCGAGCAATTGAGAATACAATGGATGATCGGAATTCTCGAAACTCTTCGGAAGCACCGGATGATGTTCTAAACATCATGCAGAGACAACATGCAGCAAAACTATCAGAATCTCGGTTGAAAATTATCAATGTGGATATCAACTATGTAACAAAAATTCCACTGCAGCAAATTGCAAATGCATTGGGTGATCAGAATTCTGGAAACTTTCAAGAAGCACTGAGAGTTCTAAACATTGTACTAAGGCAGCATGATGCAGAAAGGTATGTCAAAACAAATCGTAACTTCACTCATTATTTTATTGTTTTTAAAAATGTTAGATTACGTATTATAGAAATGAACGTTGTAGGTTATGTCGTTTTCATTTCTCGAACTTGAAAGCTGAAGTAGTAATTACTCTGGATGTTTTATTGATAGGAGATGCCTTTTTGTTCGCAATTCCTTCTTTCAAAACAATAAGATAAATTGTAAGGATCTTGGAGGCGGTGTGCTAGCCTGCGCTGGTTTTCGCTCGACCTTTAGAGCCACACAAGGAGGATTATCTCTCAACGTTGGTAAGATTCTCAAGTGGAAGGATTGGAAATTTATGCTACTTTTATCATGGATGATTGTTTACTTTTGATGTTCTTTCTTTATAGATGTGTCGAATACAGTGATTGTAAAGCCTGGACCTCTGTTGAACTTTCTTATCCAGAGTCAAAATGTTGGGAAAATTGAAAACATTGACTGGACGAAGGTGATAGACAGATATTGCCATTATATCTAGTAGTAGAGGTTTCATATATATGTACTACATGAAACTGTGGCCGTTAAATTTATGTTTATTTTTGTCCAGGCAAAAAAAATGCTTAAGAACCTTAGAATCGAGGTTAATGGTGTTGAATTCAAAATCACTGGACTGAGTGACTACACTTGCAGGACTCAGAAGTATGTTTTTCTTGTGTATCTTTTTCTCCATTTACTCACTATTAGAACGAGTTTAATTTTGATACATTGTAACTATGCACATTTTACTGTATACAATGCAAATGATGGGGCTTGTTTATTTCTTGCAGATTTCTATTAAGGAAAAATGGTGAAGAGAAGGAAAATGAAATCACAGTTTATGACTACTTTACAAAAAATAAAATGATTTCCCTGTATATTTCTGCTGATTTGCCGTGCATCAATGTTGACAAACCACAATGCCCGCGTTACTTTCCAATAGAGGTGCTAAAACAAATATCCACATATTGCCAATTTTTTTAGAGAACGTGTTTTTAATCTCCTTATTTGGTGTCAAACGTGATGAAACTCTTTATATTTTCATGTCGATCTAGAGTACATTGCATTAATCACACTTAGTTTTCCTATCTATCTTCCTTGACTGTTTCAAAAACATTACACAAATACCTTTTTACATTACATTAACCCCTTTAAGCATTTGAAAAACATTACATCTTGTACTACTATAATGGAGATTATTGTGAGTGTTAAACAAGAAGCATTTACGTAGTGTACGAAATTTAAGAGTTGATTAATATAATTTATTCTAATATGTTTTTCTTTCTTACACATTTTCCATTTTGGAGAACTTCATAATGGAATTCTATATTTGCAGCTATGTGAAATGGTCTCGTTGCAGCGGTACCCCAAGGCACTGACAAATTTGCAAAAGGCTCGGGTAGTGAAAAAGACAAGGCAATGTGCCAAAGAGAGGAAAGCTGATGTTGAAAAAGTACGACGAAAATCTTAAAATTTATGTAACCCAGTAACACTTTTTCAATAATTCTTTTGGTACATTCTTAATGTTGTATGAACTGCTTGTTAAAAAATTTTCAGTTGTTAAGAAGCAACAAATATGATAATGAATCTATGTTTCGCTCTCTTGATATTAACATCGATCATAACATAACAAGGCTTGAGGGTCGTGTATTGCAACCTCCACAGGTATGTCTGACCTATTTAGATAAATTTGTTTTTACGAGACAAATTAATGTTTTTACAACATTAATTTATATGTAAGTTAAGTTTATTAAGTTTTTTTAATTAAAATATGGTATCTCTTTTTCAAACAATTTTTCTGTAAAAAAATGGCTTTGGTTCTTTTAAAAAAAAAAACTAAAAAAAGTATAAATTTATTTTGAAAGGACAAAAAGAAAACACAACTACATTTTAAAAACCAAATACATGTTTAAGGTTACAAGTTAAAAATGAGCATTGTAGAAGTTATTTTGATTTTTTTTTTCATGTTCTCTTTGAAAAGTTTATGGAAAATGGCCAGTAATCTTAATTTTGTTTATTGCATGAATGTATGACTTACTTTTTCATGTCAATATATATTTTTGCAGCTTGTAGTTGGAAACAAGAGGCACATCACTCCCCTCGATGGGCGCTGGAATTTTATCGATAAGGTTTTCATTTTTAACATTCACCTTATGTCAATGTTTTATGTAGTTGAATCATGTTTTGGGTTATTTTATCAATGAGTATCGTCTATCATCTTTCAGCAACTATTTGCCCCTATGACAATTGACAAATGGGCCGTTGTTAGCTTCTCAATTGATTGTGACACAACACTGCTGATACAAAAAATTGAGGAAATTAGTGCTGCTCTAGGAATGGTAAGTTTTCACTAGAATTGTAAATCAACTTTAGTTTTTTTTTTTTTTTTTCATAAATTGAGTTTGCAATGACATCTACTAGTCTCTAAACTTCTGAGTGAATTATGAGATGAGATATAATTGACCTTTTCTATCATCAAAATTTATCCAAGTCACTCCTCAAATAGCAGCAATCTTCATTGATGTTCTATATTAATTATTTCATTGCAGAACATGATGAATATACTACACAACAAGGTAATTGAAGAGAATTTCAGATTTATAACTCAACCAGCACATGTCAGGGTAGAGCAAATGCATAAAAAGCTGCACAAGACTCTTCCAGGAACACCTAGTTTTCTGCTGTGTATTCTTCCAAACAAGAATTCTGATATTTACGGTAAGATCAACAAAGCTCAACCGGTTTTGTTTTTGTTTTTGTTTGTTACTTTTAGTTAGCATTTTTCTAATAACATATATCGATTGCTGTAGGTCCGTGGAAAAAGAAATTTTCGGTTGATGACGGGATTGTAACACAGTGTATTAGTGCACAACAAAACTTTGATCGTCGCTACATTACTAATGTACTCTTGAAAATCAATCTAAAGGTATATATTCGATGTTACATACTTCTGTTTAATAAGTAATTATGCATTTATTTAGTTATTTTAAATGTGTTGTTCTTAAAAAAAATTAATTACTTTGATGCAGTTTGGCGGGATGAATACCAATCTTTCAAGGGAGCATGAGAAGAAAATTCCTATGGTTTCTGATAAACCCACCATAGTTCTTGGTATGCATGTTTCTCATGGATCTCCTGCTAGGTCTAATGTGCCATCCATTGCTGCGGTATGATATTTAATTATATGCATAAAGCATCATTTTAGTTTCACTAAATAAAGATTGATATATTTAGTCTTATGTAGTTGAACGAATCCTTAACCTATCTTATATACTTAGGTTGTGGGCTCAAGATGTTGGCCTCAAATTACACGTTATAGAGCTGCTGTCCGTGCACAGTCAGCAAAAACTCAGATGATTCAATCTTTGTTCATGCCTGATGAGGCTGATCATCCTTCAGAGGACACGGGTATCATCAGGTGCCAGCATATTTTCGAACCAAGACAAGGGAGTGTCTACTAATGCAGATTTATAATTGTATGTGTTTGTCCTTTCTTATATATCACTTACCAATCTGTTTTTTGTCTGTTTCAATTTGTAGGGAGATACTATTGGAATTTTTCGAAAGTTCAAAGAGTATAAAGCCTCAACAAATTCTCATTTTCAGGTGCATTTAAACTAAATATCAATAATCTGGATTTTAGTCAAGAAAAACATCATCTTAAAATGTATGCTTTGTAAATTTATTCTTTGAATTCCTTAATTAGTGTTCAGCATTCCTTTCTTTATCTTTATATGTTTTCTTGATTTCCTTTACCATCATTTCTGCATTGTTTTATTTTATCTTAAATAGGTATTCATCCAGATAGATTTTTGTTATTTTAGGGATGGAGTGGGTGAATCACAGTTCAAGCAAATACTCAATGATGAGTTGAATCAAATAATACAGGTATATATATATATTCATTCATACTAAACTATATATCGGATCCGATTATTCTACGAATTGAACTTGAAATTGGATTTTTCAGGCATGCAAATTACTTGACGAAGACTGGGATCCAAAGTTCACTTTGATTGTTGCCCAAAAGAATCATCATACTAGGTTCTTCAACCCCGCAGATAAAGAATATAATATTCCAATTGGTTTGTGACCTCAACAGAGAAAAAAAAAACTATGCAGATGTGATTTAAATTTCTGAGACACAATATTTTGTTGTCTATAGGAACCGTAATTGACAGCACTGTCTGCGATCCCAAAAACAATGACTTCTACTTGTATGCTCAAGTTAGGGACAAGATCACAAAAGTAATGTTTTATTTATACTGATTCAAGTTAAATTACATATTCATAATTTTCTACTGTCACAAACGTGTCTTTGCCAACAGCAAACGACTAGCCAACAGGGAACAACTCGCCAGCAGGCAACAACTCGCCAGCAGGCAACAACTCGCCAACAGGGAACAACTCGCCAACAGGGAACAACTCGACCTGTTCACTACCATGTTTTACACGATGAAATCGGATTCTCAACTGATGAACTGCAGGAACTCGTGCATTCTCTATCTTACTCGTAAGTACATGTAGTTAACGAATTAGTTTTTTTCTTTGTTAAGTCACGTAACTCTACAATCATCTTTGGCAACCCTTTTGAATTTTATACTAATTAGTGGATTTTTGTAAACTTTTACAGGTATCAAATTAGCACTTCTGCTGTATCATTGGGTAAAATTTTCATTACGCTCATTATGCATAGGTATAAAAGTTTAAGAAAATGAGTGTGATAAACTCTGGTTTATGATTGCAGTTGCTCCACTTCGTTATGCGGGCTTGGCGGCTAGACAGATGGCAAAATTTGTGAAATGTGATAAACAAAGTAAGGCTTCTCGCAGGCATGGTGGAGACACGTCTTCTGCTGCACATCCATTACCAATTCTTCCCCAACAACTCATGGAGAGCATGTACTTTTGTTAATATTTCACTTCTTCTCTTCACCTTCCACGCAACACAAGCTTTTGACTTCAATGCTGCCATACTTAGTGTTCTAGTTTTCTAAACTTTGTTGCTACCCTTACTCTTGTGATGAAACTCTTCTACATATCTGTCAATAAAAGTTTCTACATATTACATATCACTTTTGGGATATTATCACTTTTTAACAAATTTATTATATAGATGATAATGTAATATGTTTTAAACTAGGATAAATTATACGACGTTCAATTTTTAATCTTTCAATTTTTAATAAATTTTGGATCTTGGTTCCCAAGTAAATGTTTAAAATTGATCCTCAAATTATTTTAAAAATTAAAAATAAAACAAATTCTTTGTATCCTATTAATTATCAATCTATTCTGTTGTGTTTTAGGGCAACTATTGAAGTTTCACCAAGTTCAAATAATCTAGTGCCTCAACTTCAACGGATTATATTGTTTTAGTTGTATCTTAATTGAATAATTTGAATTTAAATTTAATGACAATTTTAAAATATATATTCATAAATTTTACATTAAGATTAAGAATAATTTATAATTACTTTTTTAATTTATAGAGTGAGAATTAGTTAACAAAAATTTACCATTTTAATTTTATTTTCTTTAATTATATATTTTCTTGGTTTTATTATCAACTTATTTTACTTTATAATTTAAATTATTTTCTCAAATAGTATATCATCATTGTTAAGGTGTTTGTTTACTATTTTTAAATCATTTGTGGTTATAATATATTTTTTTAAAAATTTCAATGCTTGTTATTTTCAAGATTTATTTTAATATTATTAAAACTTATAATTAAAATATTAAGAAAATTTAAGACAAATTACATCTACTTTAGTTGAGATTATATTAAGTAATATTCACATCTCTTTCTTACCGTTTTTCCTCTGGAAAAATACCTTCTACCTCTCTTTCATTCAAATCTCATTCATATGTTCTACTTTTTTCTTTTCTTTTATATTTGATTATTGTAATTTGAATCTTTACTATTTAATTTTCTCTCTGTTTTAATTTTTTTCTCAAGAAAATTATATATTTTTTAATTTAATGCTATACTATCAGTCACTTATATTAAAAAAAAACATTGATTTCATAAAATTAATATAAAAAATATTAATATTAAAAAAATCCTGAAATTGAAAAGGATAAAAGGTCTACTATTTTTTATCAATAATAATAATAATAATTTAAAATAAATACAGTATAAACTTTTATGATATCTTAAAATAATTTATTTTATAATATTTCAGTTTTAGTTAAAATATCTAGACTTAAATTTTATAAAAAATTTATAAATATTAGAAATAAAAATATATTAAAGAAAAAGTTATTTGAACGTGACGTCTTCTCATCTAAATTTTTTTATCTAAATTAAAAGCTCATAGAATGAAACCAATAACAATTTTAAGCAAAACATTTTATAATCATTAATCAAATTTTTTGTTTTACCTAAAAATTAAAATTACAAACAAAATATTTTATAATCATTAAAATCAAGTTGTTTGTTTTACCTAGCAATTAAAATTAGAATAACGTTTACAAATTATATATATTAAGAAATCTTTTAATTATTAAATTTAACCTAAATTGTTTTTGAATAAAGTTTAACACGATATGTTTAAAACAAATATATTATAATTATAAAAAATAAAATTTTAAGTTAAATAACATGTTGAAACAATGTACAACTCTAAAGATTTTTTAAAATTAATAAAATTTTTACAATAATAAAAATAAAAAATATTTATATTAAACTTATTTAACTTTAATTAGAATTAATAATTAATTAAAAATTATCAACTCCCAAATATGTTTCACAAATAATTACGTAACTCTTATTCCCATTAGAGATTAATAAAAGTAGAAATTATTGAAAAAAAACATTAATATTAAATTAAAATTAATATCAAATAAATATATTAATATTTTTATTTAAAATAATTTTTATATTATTTATAATTGAGATAAATATTTTTAAAATATAAAAAATATGTTTAATTAATTATAGATAAGAATGGATAAAAAATATTTAACATCCAAACTGATTATAGACTAAGATATTTTATTTAACTTGACTCTAGAGTTATTTTTTATTTAATTAAAATTAAGAAAAATATTTAATGTATATAATTTTTTATTTTATTTAAAAAAATAATATATACAATTTAATTTATTTTTCATTTAAACAAAATAAAATTATAAAATGTTACAGTCTTAAAAAAATATTAAATAATTAAAAACTTATATAATATAAAGATTATAAAATATTAAAAATTTAATCGTTAATATTAAATAAAAAATTTAAAGCTACTTAAATACTGTGTCATAAGAGGTAAATATATATTTTATTTTATTTTAAAAAAATAATATATATATCAAACTTAACTCACATCTTAAAAAAATCATAAAATATCATTTTATAAAATCATAAAATATTTACTTCTTGAAAATATTTAAATAATTAAAATTTTAGATAATATAAAGATTAAAAAATATCGAAAATGTAACTGCTAGCTAAATAAAACTTTTAAAGCTAATTAAATCCTTAAAATGTGAAAAAAAAAAAAAAATCAAGAGATGGGAAAGAAGAAGGATTGTCAAATACAGTATCGTCGGCGTGGCTGAGGAATTTAGCAATCGGAGTATCCGAACGCCATTGGAGCGAAACATGGGAGAGTCTTGGATGAGAAATGTCAAATTTTTGGAAGGAAAATTGAGGATTTCTAGTTGCGAGCAATAGCCCTACAACCCCTTTCAAAAACCCTAATATTTTGAGTAACTGGAAAGTTCTAGTTACAAGACACGTAAATGAAAAGAGGGGCAGAGCAAAAAATAAATAAAAAGTTTAAAAAGTTTATATTCTTTTATTGAGAGAAAACTCCCATCTTTTCTTGTAGATCTTCCCGTTATAAACTAATAACGAAAATGATATTTTAAAATCCTTACATTTTTTTTAATGTAGTGTCAAAGCATTATAATATATATAGTTTAGAACGAGAAATATCACAAATTTTTTTAACATGTATAATTGTTCAATGTTAAATTATTACCGTGTTGTATTTAGTTGATTTAATTATAATGTTACGATAAAATTATTATATTTATAGTCAATAATTAAATGATTAAAAAATAAGTTAATGAAAATAAATTTAATTATTTTATTGTGATTTAAAAAGTTAAGATTTATTATATTAAATATTTTTAAATTAATTTTAAAAGTTATTAAAATTACTTATATTATAAATTAGACTAATTATCTTACATCTCTTTTCAATCGCACGCATAATCTTATATAAAAAATAAAAAATAAAAGAACTGATTAACAACAAAGCTAATAATTAAATTTATCAATGTATTAAACTACAAATTAAAAGACAAAAATTGATTAACAACAAAATTTATCATTTAATTTATCAACATATTAAAGTACAAATTACAAACGAATTAACAATAAAGTTAATCATTAAATTTATCAACATATTAGCTACAAATCACATGACAAAAAATGATTAACAACAAAGTTCATCATTAAATTTATCAACATATTAAACTACAAATTCCTTAAATTAATAGTGTGCTTGTTAACAGCATGTGATTAATAAATTTTATCCAAAAAACTAAAATAAAAAATATAAAAAATATTTTTCTCAACATACCTAATAATATATTTAACATAATTACATTATAATAAAAATATTTGTATTTTTTATTGGAAAAAAGATATTTAGAACTATTTTACTTATTAGAATATTATTATCTTTATTTCACACTCTGCAAGTATTTATATAAAATTATTAATGTAACACAATTTTAAAAATTAAGATCCTATAAATAATTTATATCATAAAATTTAAATACAATAACATTCATATCCTACAATGAAATCAAAATTATAAAAAATTACATAAATATTTTTTTATCCTATGTAATATTCATGTAAAAAGGTTATCAATAGACATTTTACTCACCTTACAAATAAAAAATAAAATTAACAAAAACTGTATTTTTAAATTTAAATCATAGGAATGATATTAATTTTACTATAAAATTATTATTATTTTAAAATATAATTATTAATTTAGAAAATAGTAAAAAAAAAAATCATGATGACCATGTTATGTTAGAGTAACACGTCAGTTTCTTAAACCATTGATAGTTTTAATATCGAAATTTCTTTGTCTTTGTGTTTTAGAGAAATCTAGTTTAGGTGGGTTGTAACATTCTCGATAAAAGGTTTCAAATCGAGATATTTGAAGATAGTGGTAGTTTTTACCTTTCTTGGTTTTCGATTTATCCCGCACAATGAGAGAATGATGCTCAGTCAAATTCGATTGGATTATATCAAAGTCAAAGTGAATTCTTGAAAATCAATCATTTCACCATTTGAAAAATTCATGAGTAGATAAGTAATTCGATTCGAAAGTATAAGGGTAAAAAATGAAATGAGTCTTGTGGTAATGATTTGGTATGCTCTATTCTCACATTCGATTCATTGGGCTTGAGTCCTGGGAAATTCTTGATTTGAAAAAACGGTAAAGCTTGACTTAAACCAAATTGTCTTGAGAAGAGTTGGGAGTAATAAGTGATGGTTGAGGGTGTCGAGACGATAATCAAACCCCTTCTAAATTGAAACTCGAAGGCATTTTGGACGATGCGGGGAGGATACTCTCGAAAATCGAAGTTAGCTAAAGTTGGATTAACCATATAGGACCAGGAAATTTTCTTGAAGGTTTTGGAGTATTCAAGATGTCAACTCGCCTCATCAAGTTATAAACGTGGAAGGAAATTAAATGGAGACGTGACACAAACTTTTGAGAAAAGACATGTTTTTGGAGAATCAAGTAATATTAATGAGGGAAATGACTTAATTTGACATGTGATAATAAAAACAACTTTGTATGACTTCAGAACATTTAAGAGTTAAGGTAGACATTTTTTGATAGAATACAAAATTTGCACAATGTTTTTATTCTTTCAAGGGGCATTGGTGAGAAAAATCGATATATGAATCGAGAAGTGGATGGAAGAAATTCAATGACCATGTGTTAGTGGGAAAAATCGATATATAAATCGAAAAGTGGATAAATCGAGATATAGATCGGAAAGTGGATAGAGGAATTTTGGTGGGGAAAATCGAGATATGAATCAAAAAGTGGATAAATTGAGATATAAATCGAAAGTGGATAAAGGAAATTCGATGACCATGTGTTGGTAGGAAAAATCGATATATGAATCGAGAAGTGGATGGAAGAAATTCGATGACCATGATTGGGAGTAAAAAATCGATAATAAGTATCGAGTGTTAAGTTTGAGAAAAATTAGAGGCAGCTTCAAGTATTCAATGTCCTGGGTCAAAATTGAGGGAAACAATTATCCATGCACATGGGAACATGGGGTAGCGGTTGTTCTTAGGTGGTTATGTTAAGCAAGGTTATAGATAGAACAAAACGTGAAGAAGGAAGAAGATTTTCGGGTATCGAAATTGCTTGTACAAGCTTACTCGGAGAACGACGACGATCATGGAATTTCTAAAAATCTGGATTTTCGCTTTTATCGACACCTTTTACCACTTTCTTTATTTTCCCTGGTAATTTATTTACATACAATTTAAATTTACCTTTCCGTATTTCTTTCTAGTTATTTCAATTACTTGGTCATTTATTCTTGTGTAATTTAAAATTATGTATTACTTTTTCGCCTCGTCAATTTAAATTTACCTTTATTTCTTTTCAGCTTATTTCAATTCGTTGGTAATTTATTTTTGTACAATTTAAAATTATGTATTACTTTTTCGCCTTGTCAATTTAAATTTACCTTCTCGTATTTCTTTCCAGCTTATTTCAATTCCTTGGTAATTTATTCTTATGCAATTTAAAATTATGTATTACTTTTTTGTCTCGTCAATTTAAATTTACATTTCGTATTTCTTTCAAGTTATTTCAATCAACAAGTATCATATGATCATGTCCTTTTTTTTTAGTTGTTTTATATGAATTTGCATGTCTCTTATTTCACATAACTTTTCATGTTATTCGCAAGTCTCTTAATAAAAAAATACAAAAAAGAACTTTTATTTTCAAGTTAATGAATATAATTTATTTATCTAAACAACCTTTCTTTCGATTGTATAACTTGCTTATTCGAAAGTATACTCGATGTTTGTATGTTTTTAAATTCATTTATCGCTTCATATGTTTTGATTGAAAAACTTTGTTTGTTAGCTTAAATAGAGAGAATTTACTATACTTAAAAATTGGTTAAAACCTAATCTTTGGAGAAATCGAAATAAAATCAAATTTTCAGCATAATCAACCATGCATTCTCATATTCTTAAATGATGTAAATAAAAACAATATGTTAATTTATTGAAAAAAGATCACATGATTTGAATTTTCTAACCTTTAAACTTGATACTGAAAAAAAAAATCAGGGTAATTAAACCTCATGTTTTCTCACAAAACTTATTTCCGTTATTTATTTTATCTCAAAAAACTTAGTTTCTTTATTTTTTATAAAATAAAAAACTAAATGTATTGATTTAGTTTTATAACTGATAAACTAAAAAATAAAATAACTCTCAACTTACTAACAGTAAATAACGTACAAAATTTACAAAATTTAAACGGTAATAAATCAATAAAACCTTTTATAGGTCATGAATACAGTGTTAAAAAAGAGTTATTTGTATGAATTAAAATAAGTTTTTTTATTTTAACATAGTAATTGAAAGTGTTCCGACACCTGAAATAACAATATATGTTATTATTAAATTATTTGTCTAAAATTATTTAAACTCAAAATATTTTAATTTATTAATGGATAATCAAATTTAGATGTATTAAATATATTAAAATGTATTCATCAATTTTTAATTATATTTATTTTTTATCAATTTTATTTTTATTACATATAATTAATACATATAAATTATATTTATTTGATTATTTTACAACCGCTTTAACATTTATCACTTAGTTCTTTTAAATAAAACATTTTTTATAAATTATTGTTATTTTTATTTTTATATTGTTTTATTATTTCTTTAAAATAATATTTTTAATTAATGCATTTAAAGTTTGTTATTTTTTTATACTATTTTATTCTAAATGAATTATGTGATAACAATTATATCTATTGTTACTAAATATACTTGTATATTTAGAAAATGTTATTGATAATAATTTAATTTAAATATCAGTTTATATTCAATATATTATTTATAATAAAATTTGTTACTTATTGTTCTAAGATATTTAATTAAAATACAAAATATTATAAAAAGATTATTATATTTTAAATATATATGTTTTCTTTATAATAACTAAAATTATTATTATTATAAAAATTTTTCTTATTAATGTTATTACAATTAATATATTATTTTTAAAAATAATATATTTTTAGTAATTTGAGAAATTAACATTAATATTATTTTTTGTTATATAAATATAATTAAAGGTTCCAGCAAATAACTATGTAATATTGTCAAACGATATATATTGAAAATTAAAAATATATTTTATTCTGTTTAAATTTAATGAAAATTTATTAAATTTTAATGATATTAATTGAGATTAATATTATTATAAAATGAATAATATATTAGGTTTATAATTATTTTTGAAGATTATGATAATCTTAAATTAAATATTAAATTTTTTATTTTATTTTGATGAATTTAGTTTAATATTCTTTTAAAGTTATATTATAACAAATAATCAAAGACATATAAAATATACTTAAATTATTAAATTTTTATGGGTGGTGAGTACAATTGAAACTATATATATATATATATATATATATATATATATATATATATATATATATCATTATAAATTTAAACATATATATTATTATAAACTACAAAATTATAAATTAAAAAATATATAGATCATAAATGTAATATTGTAATTTCGTGACATTAAATGAAACAAACCATTGTAATAATAATATACAAATTTTAATATTATTTAATGTAAATTGAAAACGTTGTAGGTTGAAATTTATAATTCAATCCAAGAGAGAAACTTTTGTTGATTTTTGGGGAAAAATTGACATTAATTATAATATATAAAGACTTGTATTATGTCATATTCAAAAATATAGTTATTATTTTTTTTATTAACATCACAATAATTATAATATAAAATTTTAGAAGGTTTATTTTCAAAAAACTTGTCAATTTTTTTTACACAAATATTTATGAATGAGAATTTTTGAAAAATTAATTTTTTTAATGTAGTAATTTAGAATAGGGAAAAATTAAACATTTTAAAAATGTATTAAAAATGGTAATTGTTTTGTTTTATCACACTAGTTTTCTTATGAACAACAGCTTTAGTTTTATTTAAAAATATACAAATATCGTTTGCATATTTTATGAAAAATAATTTTTTTTTTTTTAACTAAATAAAGAAACATATTTTATTTTAGTTTTCTATTTTTATTAAAAATATATAAGTAACCATTGCGCTACATCACATATAAAGTTATCAAATTAGAATTTTATTTTTCATTACAACTTTGCATTGTTAGTGATCATATTTTATTTTTTGTAACCTATTTTTAAAGATAATATTTTAAAATTAATCACTAAAACTGTTTTTAAAAATTTAAGAAGAAACTATTAAAAGTAATGTTTAATTCACAACTCCCAAAAAACCAAAATTTTCTATATTTTTTTTATAAAGTTTTTTTTTAAATGCGAACCTAAGATGTTTTTAATATTTATAATTATTTTGTATTTTATACTTCATATCATATAACTGCCTTTATAATTATTTTTATTTTAAATTATAATTTATTTTTATTATTTAATAACCATTTTTAACATTTTTCTAATTATTTTTTAAAATTATTATTTTTATTTAATATTTCAATAATTATTATTTATAACAATAATAATATGAATAAAATAATAATTAAAATAAAATAAAATATAAAATAAATAAGTGATGAATCAAATGATATTTTTAGAAACCTATTTGTCGTGCTAAACCCTAAAGCTCTAAGCTCACTCTGTTCCTTTCTTTTTCTCGCGCCCCGAGAGGCATCAAACGCAGAAGTTAGGGTGAGATTTTTCTACGGTAAGCAATTCGAAAGTGTTTTTTTGCGTTTCTGCGTTCATTCTTCAGCACTCTATTCCATTCTAAACAATTTTGAATCGAAACAAACAGTGCTTTGTGTGAACGCGCGATTCAATGGCGGGAGGGAAAGCGAAGAAGGAGAAGGCGAAGCCGCAGCAGCACATGCCATATCAGGGAGGAATCTCCTTCCACAAATCGAAGGGGCAGCACATTCTCAAAAATCCATTGCTTGTTGACTCCATCGTTCAGAAATCCGGCGTCAAACCCACCGACGTCGTCCTCGAGATCGGTCCTGGCACTGGAAACCTCACCAAGAAGCTTCTAGAAATCGCCAAGAAGGTCGTCGCCGTTGAGATCGATCCCCGCATGGTTCTCGAGCTCCAGCGACGGTTCCAGGGCACTCCTCACTCCAATCGCCTTACGGTGTGTAAAAAAAATAAAAAACAATTTCACTTTCTTGGAGTGCTTCAGAAAAATAATTGATGCTTCAAAATGTGATCAGTCCTCTGATCCTAAAGAAAATGCTAGAGAGTATGTTCCGATAGAGTTGTATTTTAGATTTTTTTTTCTCCCGAGCACGGAATCTTAAGAATGGGATTCTAGTATGTGTACCACTACCACAAGGTTATTTAAGGATTGGGGTTCTTTAATTTGAAAAACGAAAAACATTTAGAGTCAATTTAGTAGAGGTTACTTAAGGATTCAAATTGCAGCCACGGTTACTATTTTGCTGTGATTCTTGGTACTGGGGGAATTTCCGGACAAATGTGACCATTGTGGTCACAGCGACCCCAAAAACCTTGACCTTCTTCCCAAAATTGTGGTTGTGACTGGTTTTTAAAATCTGGGGTAGCTTGTTTCAATAAGTATTTTATGGTAGCTTTTAAAAACAGTTTACATCAAATATTTCAAGTGCTTATTTCACTTAGTTATCTATTAAGTACTTTCAAGTGCTTATTTCACTTAGTTATCTATTAAGTACTTTCAAGTGCTTATTTCACTTAGTTATCTATTAAGTACATAGAATCTGTTTGGAAGTGCTTATTTACAACTTATTTTAACTTGCACCTGGAAAAAACGTGTTTGGAAAAGCATGTTTACATTTGAGCGAATTTTATAAATGGATACTTGTAAGAGCGTACTGCTACCTGTTTTTTCTAACATCTTATTGTATTATGTTTTATTTTATTTTTTCATGGTTACAGGTTATCCAAGGCGATGTGCTGAAGACTGAACTTCCTTATTTTGATATATGTGTTGCAAACATTCCCTACCAAATATCTTCTCCTCTCACATTCAAGTTACTCAATCACCAGCCTGCATTTAGGGCTGCAATCATAATGTTCCAGAGAGAGTTTGCCATGAGACTGGTTGCTCAGCCCGGTGACAAATTATATTGTCGTCTAACAGTGAACACTCAACTCCATGCTCGAGTCTTCCACCTCCTAAAAGTTGGAAGAAACAACTTCAGGCCCCCGCCCAAGGTTGATTCCTCTGTAGTGCGTATTGAGCCTAGGAAACCCCGTATTGAAGTTAAGCAAAAGGAATGGGATGGGTTTTTGCGAATTTGTTTCAACAGAAAGAACAAAACACTTGGTTCGATATTTAGGCAGAAGAGTGTGATCTCCTTGCTTGAAAAGAACTATAGAACTGTGCTGGCGCTGGGACTTGGACCAGTAGATTCCTCGAAGGAATCAGATACCAAAATGGACTTTGCTAGTTTTGGTGATGATCAAGGTATGGAGATGGATGATGATGGAGCAGATGAGGATGAAATGGAAGTTGAAGATGGGGAAGCAGACGAGGTGCAATCTGAATTCAAGGACAAGGTTTTGGCTGTTCTGAGGGAGGGAGATTTTGAAGAAAAGAGGTCGTCCAAGCTCACATTACAGGAATTCCTATACCTGCTTTCTCTGTTTAACAAAGCTGGCATACACTTCTGCTGATTTCAGATGGTCAATTTTCTTGACAGCTTCTCCACTCTCTGCATCTACACAATTTTGCTAATTAGTCTTATCATTAGGCTGCATTCATCCAAGAGTGGTGTCAGAAAAACTGTTTCTCAAACATTGTATTTTGTTGAGCTCTTTCATGGATGTATACTACTCCATATAATCTATAGTGGTTTGATTAAATGTTCTTCTTCCCTTATGAGGATCTGCATCCGGAACTTTGTGTGGTGTCATGTTTATTTTTATAATTTTGCAAATCTTATCTTTTTCTCCTTTTTAATGCAACCTGATTGGCAGTGCAGAACTGATAAACCAATATTTAGTTAGAGCTATGTTCAGTCTATGTTCTGAAGTATCTGAAAATATCAGGTTGCCTCAGAAACAATTTTACAACACTGCTTTTGGATTGGTTCGCAAAAATTGAAACTGGTTGGTGCCAAAAAAGGTGGAACCATATTTCCAGATTTAGTTTTTCTTCAAAAAGAAACCATGAGCAGGCCTAGGGTTGGCCATGTGCTTGCCTTGCTTCAATAGAACGGATACGGTTGCTCATTTCGAAACACAAGTAGAAAATTCAAAATTAAATAGACTTCTTTGCCTTGGTAACTTGTTCCAATCATTAAAACCACCCCTTCGTGTGCTTTTTAGCACCAAGATTGGCAACCGTACAAGAGGTTGCCAGACACTGTCAGTGAAGTGCAGTTACTTTGCTAGTATAGGTCGAGATTGGCGTCCATGATCCAGACCAACACCTACAAGAAGAAGCAAGTTTGTACGACGAATTCCGTTCTATATCTCTAATTCTTCCTCAATTTCAAGGAAATAATTATATTATTTTTAACCTAAGGATTATATATTTGTTCTCACTTGTATTGTTTTACTTTCTCTTTTTGTTTTTCTTATAATTGACCTCCGATACTAAAAAAATTATTAAAGAGAAAATATAAATCAATCTAATTTGATACTAATCTTACACTCATTATGTAGATAAAGTTTTTCATTTATCATTATCAATATTATTATTATTCATCATTGAAGTCTGTTGAAGTAAAGTTATGCGATGCTATTGCTGGAAAAAAGCATAAAAACTTGCAATGATATAAAATAAGAATCCTAGCTATATAATAAAATACTAAAAATTTAGAAGTTAATAATGGCAAAAAATATTTTCGGGATCTTTGGAAATTTTGGTGAAACTACCTATTGTAAATTGAAACACAATTCACTAATAGCCCAGAACAAAACAATGTTAATAATTAATACAGATTTTTTTAATATTGGAAACAGTGTTTATCAATTAATTAGTATTTATTAATTACATTTAGAATAATTTTTTTAATAGATATTTCGAAAAAAGAATGAATACTCGATTAAAAATGTTTATTTGTATGAAAAATAAAATACTTTCAAATGCATATTTTATTTAAAACGTATTATCAAATGAATTAAACAAATTGATAGAGGTGTTTTAAAGAAAAAATTTATAAATTTTACATTTAAGAGTAAAATATTTGATACATAATCTTGTTATATAAATAAATATATTAGTTTTAATAATTATTATTTCAGAATGTAAATAAAATGATTTGTATAGCTTTATATATTTTTTCATTTAATTATAAATCATCACAATTAAATAAATAATTTTAAAAAATAAATATGTTTTTTTTTAACATATAATTAATCTATGTTAGCACCTCCATGCACAATTAATAAATAAGTTATTTACAAACTATTTCTATGGGATGTAGAAAGTGTTTAACAGTATCATGTTTGGTGAGGAGATGAGTTGCGACTTTTTTTCATAAATAATACTATTTTTAAAAATATTTTTCAAAATAAGCACATCCTGAACATTATTTACACAACTAACACTTTTTATTATTCACATATTAAAATAATCAATTATTTTATATTATGATCGATTATTTCGCATAATCAACTCTCGCTCAAGCGAAGGGTTTCTTCGCTTGAGCGAGGAAATCAGTAACAAAGGGGTAATCTCCGGTTAATTCTCGCTCAAGCGACGGTATTTTCGCTTGAGCGAGAAGTGATTAAAATATGTGGTGACCCAAGTTGCGTTATGTGGCTAATTGCGTTGGACGTTTAGTCGTGGTAAATTCTCGCTCAAGCGATGAGTTACTTCGCTCGAGCGAGAATTGATTGGGTAACTGCGTTGGACCGTGGTCAATTCTCGCTCAAACGAGACATCCATCGCTTGAGCGAAGAAATTTATAATCGATTATAATTTGAACAAATCGATCATATATCATATATGTGTCACTTTTAAGAGCTGGTTAATATTTTAACCGCTCTTAAAAGTGAACATATAATAGCGGTTCCACGTTAACCGCTATCTAAAATATACTTTTAATAGCGGTTAGTTCTAGAACCGCTATCTAAAATCTCGGGTCAATTCTCGCTCAGCGACGGGTACTTTCGCTGAGCGAGAAGTGATTGAAATATGTGGTGACCCAAGTTGCATTATGTGGCTAACTGCGTTGGACGTTTAGCTTGTGGTCAATTCTCGCTCAAGCGAGAAACCCATCGCTTGAGCGAGGAAACCCGCAACTATTTATAATGCTGAGTCACCCACCCAAGTCAGAATTCCCATGTCTTTCTCGATGCACACAAGTAAAGAATCCAATGCTGAGTTACCCACCTAAGTTAGGATTCCAATCTTGGATTCCCTACATTGGGTTAGACAAAAGCGTAAGAATCCAAATATATTTAAAGAGATGTTGACCCACCCACTTTGCTTGGGTTTTGTGTGCGTCGAAACCATGTGAGGGAGCATTGGATTCAAACCAATGGACTTCATTATAAATAGACCACTTTCATTCTTTGAAGTTCTCACATTGCACACTCCTAAATCTCTGAAGCTATTTGCATTATTTCTTCTTCTTACCTTTAGTCTTCTTTGTGTTCCACACTCCTAAAATGGGTGTAGTGTCTACTATTGTCCACTATGATGGTTTCATGAACCCATGTCCCATGGAGGGAGTTACCTTCAATACTGGGACTGCAAAACTTGTTCCTTTAAAGAGAGGAATTTTTCTACAAAGGTTGAAGAAGTTGATCCACAAGAAATTGGAGAAAGAACCCCACGAAAATGTAGCAACCATCCATTTTCGCTGCCCAACTAGACTCTGGAGTTGGGATCAACAACTTCATTGCTGTTGAGTTGAAAGATGATGACGACGTGGAGGCCATGTTCGATGTTCATGATTCAAACTCAAGTCTATGTGGTATTGAAATTTTTGTTTCATTTAAAACTTCTTCTTCTTCATACCCCAACACACACTCACCGTAAATTTCACCCTTAAATCAAGTCTATGTGGTATATTAACTATGTTTTTTTAATATTGTGGTATATTAACTATGTTCTTCTTCATTTAAAACTTCTTCTTCTTCATACCCCAACACACTCAAGTCTATGTGGTATATTAACTATGTTTTTTTAATATTGTTGTAGCGTATGGGATGATCGAACCACGATTCTACTATTATTACAACATCTTGAGGCAATGTGACATAAAAGCAACTAATTGGTTGGATGAGATACCTAGAGAAAATGGGCACTTGCATGTGACAATGGACGACGTTGGGGCCACATGACGATTAACATAGCAGAGTCTATCAACTCGTTTTGAAAAAAACAAGAAATCTACCTATTTGCTCCATGGTCAACGCAACGTACACCCGTCGCAACAAATTTTTCATTGAAAGAGGGAGGCGGATAGATGCCATGATCAATCGTCGGTCATGTATACTCCGAAATTTTGGTCACAAATTTAGAGGAAACACAAACACAGTAAACACGCATAGGGTCATAACTTTTGACAGTCTACCACAAAATTTGTAGTAGAAGAAACACAAAACCCAAGTGAAGTTCGACCAGACAGGAAGTTTGCGGCTCACCTTGATGAGTTATGGTGTGACTGTGGGAAATTCCAAAAATTTCACATGCTTTGTTCACATGTTCTTGCTGCATGCAAGCATGCACACCATGACTTCAACAACTATATTAATTCGAGTGTATACCTTACAACAAGTTTCAAAGGTATACTGAACACAATTTGGGTTATTGCGAAATGAAAAATATTGGCCAACATACACAAGACCTACTTTGTGTGCAAATCCAGAAATGAAAAGAACTTCAAAGAGTCGACCAAAATCAAGTCGTATAAGAACCGAGATGGACATTACATAAAATCAAGTAGTAGGATTAAAAAATGTTCATTTTGTCATACCCCTGGTCATAGCAGTAAGAACATGTCCCAATGTTGCACGTGCATCTACTTCGCATCATTAGATTGTGTTAGTTAAGAAATGTCTCAATGTATGAAACTTAGGAGTTTTTCAATTAATTGAAAGTGATGAAGATCTTATTGAATCATTTGATAAAACAAAGATATTGTGGGTTTGATGAAGTCAAAGGTTATTTAAGGAACTTTTTGCTAACTTGTTTTAATCGATTAAAACTTGTTGTTATCGGTTAAAATAACTTAGAAAGTTTTCTGAAAAGTTTTGAAGAAACTCATTCTGCAGGAGCCGCATAATCTGAGTTTGATTGTTCTAGTTTCTTTTCTTTGTTTCTTTACATATTATGGGTATTTGGAAGCTTGAGCGAGAATTGACCATAGGCTAAACGTCCAACGCAGTTAGCCATATAATGCAACTCGGGTCACCACATATTTCAATCACTTCGCTCAAGCGAAAGTCCCCATCGCCGAACGAGAATTGACCCGAGATTTTAGATAGTGGTTCTAGAACTAACCGCTATTAAAAGTATATTTTAGATAGCGGTTAACGTGGAATCGCTTATTATATGTTCACTTTTAAGAAGCGGTTAAAATATTAACCGCTCTTAAAGGTGACACATATATGATATATGATCAATTTGTTCAAATTATAATCGATTATAAATTTCTTCGCTCAAGCGATGGATATCGATCCAACGTAATTACCTAATCAATTCTCGCCGAGCTGAGTAACTCATCGCTGAGCGAAATTTACCTGAAATTACCCCTTTGTTACATATTTCTTTGCTTTTCAACTGGCGAGAGTTGATTATGCTAAATAATCGATCATAATATAAAATAATTGATTATTTTTATACATGTAACAATGAAAAGTCGCTAATCGTGTAAATAATGCTTTCAAATGCTGTTATTTTAAAAAATATTTAAAAAAATAATATTATTTATGAAAAAAATAGTCGATGATTATTATTTTGAGGAATCATATTTTGATAAGCACGCTCACTCGGTTCACTCGTAACATCTAATCCCAACTCAACCAATCCTCTTCCGTACGGTTCAGTGCTCTTTCTTTCATGGGCTCGCTCGAAACCCCATCCGCTGCGGAAAACGGTTCCGCTCCTTCCGCCGGCAACGGCAAGTCCATGTCCGTCGACGGCACGGAGGCGACGCCGGAGCCCGACACGACCAAAAGGCGGAGATCGTCGGTACTCCCCTTGGAGGTCGGGACGCGCGTCATGTGCCGATGGAGGGATGGCAAGTACCATCCCGTCAAGGTCATCGAGCGCCGCAAGGTTCCCAACGCCATCCCCAGCGATTACGAGTATTACGTCCATTACACCGAGTGTAAGACCCTTCGTCTTTCCATCTTCGTCCTGTTGCTGGATTTGAATGAATAGAGTGAACGGCTAGGGTTTCGGTTTCAAGGGTTGGTTGGTTGGTTGAGCTGGGTGTGGATTTAGGGTTTGTTTAGACTCAATTTGAATTTGTTTTGTATCACGTTTTGTTTTGGGTTAACGGTGAGGATTGTGTCGGTGGCTGTGATTGGAATTGATGTCTTATCACGAACAGGGTCCACTGCGAATATGATGTGAATACTAGAGAAGCTTTGCCAGAACTTGAATTTTTGTGAATTATTATTTATGAATTTCTTAGTGACGAGAGTGAGGATTATGTTTGATTTGGGGTTTTGTTTTCCTGAACGGAAAGTAGCAAGTTACAGAGAAAGGAATCATTTGTGTGCATAACTGGTTTTTTTTGGAAACCCAAATTAGGATATTACTTGCTTTGCAATAGTAGAGTGTTGTGGAGCGGCGCCACCAACTAATAGGGGTTACCGTGGCGGAGTGGTTTAGTGTAGTTCCTGTAGCAGACTAAATAGCGGGCTGAATGGTGGCAGTAGTGGTACTATGTGTTGATTCCTAAAACATGCTATGAACAGAGGCATTAGGACATTTTGGTTCGAAGTTTTGGGATTTCAATTATTCAAATGATCTCTACAACTGTAAACAATAAAATGGTAAAGAAGAAAACTTGAGTTTAGATGACGATGATTGATTATTGAAGTTTCCTATCTAGGAAAGTTGTATTTGAATTGGTTGGTATTAGCTTGTATGTTTTGTTTAGGACACCTATTTCTTTTTATTGTTAATTATGAATGTCATGAATTTTGATTGGGTTTTATCATTATTGAGAATTGAAGATCCATGCTATATAAAAAATTTCAAAATAGTGGCTATCCTATTATAGTGTTTTGGGCTGGATGCTTCATGTCACTATCTGGGATTTAAAGCACTGGTAGGGAGGGATGATGATAAGATAATAATTGCTTAGTCTTATTGTATTTTTTTTTTTTTTTTACATTTTCTTTTGCAGTCAATAGAAGACTTGATGAGTGGGTTAAGCTTGAACAGCTTGATCTTGATTCAGTGGAGGCTGTTGTTGATGAGAAAGTGGAGGAGAAGGTAACACATATAATCTAAAATTGTGTATGGCAGCATTTTTTGTACCTTATCAATTTATTTTTGAAGTTAGGTTATGGGGATTCCTGACAAAGAAGTGATAATGTAGTCCAGATTTTTTTTTCTTGTGCTTTACAAACACAACTTAATCTTTTCCCACTAGAATGGATTCATTACATAGAACAAATGGTGCCATTGAATTATATTAAAGCCATGGTTTTATAATATTTAAAGCAGACATATTTTCTTTTCAATGGCTTCTCCTTTTTGTGGGACCTGTTGGTAGGTGCAAAAAATGATCTGGTACCCTAGTGACTTGCAGACATGTTCATTTTTGTGTCTGGAGTTAAATATACATTTGTAGTCACTGGAATTGACCATTCTTCAATTTAGTATCTTGAATGTTGTTGACTTTTTCAATTATGCTATTTCAAAATATGTTCTCCCTTTGTGACTGAATTCATTTAGAAAATTGTACATATGGACTTCTAGGGTGCGACTGGCTTGAAGATGACACGTCACCAAAAAAGGAAGATTGATGAGACACATGTAGAGGTAGATTTATTACTTTTTCAGTTACAACTTCCACATAAGCTGTTAGACACAAATACACACAACAAAACGCATGCTATACTTTTACTCCTTTCATACAAAATGCTTCAACAGTGTGTAGGTGCTATTTTGGCATTAAATAAATTGAATGCTATAAGCTGTTAATTTTTCACTGGCACAACTCTTTGTTCATACTGTTCTGATTGAATATCTTATCAATATTTGAGTGTTACTTCAACTTGATGCATAGCATTGTTTTTGGATTAGCTTTCAAAAAATATTACATGTATAATTAATTATTGGTTGATTGGTTATATGAAAGAAGTTTTTCTTTGAGGACATGTGTGAGGTGAACAATGGTTTTAAAATTTATTTTGTTTGGATTGTAAAAAGAATTACTTTTCTGTAGTAAAATTACAAAAAAAGGGTTTGGAGTTATTTACAATTGTTTGTATTTGACATTATCAATTGTTGGGGATAAAATGAGAAACCAAACTTAGCTGCCTAGAAAATAAGCTGATAGGTTAATCATAAGCTCCAAATTTTTTTTGCTTGTTTTGAAAATTCTGTTTCCTTAGTAAAGAAAAACTGAAGATCATAAGCTGAATTTCTAACAATTGTCAAACATGTATGATATGTGGTTATTGGATAATGGATCTATGTTATAGAAGTTTTTTCATGAAATAATCTGCTTGTCAAAGATCTTAGAGCTTCCAATTGCAAACATACTGATACCACGATTATAGTGCTTCCAAAACACTAACCTTGTTTGCATGTCAGTAGCTTTAATATTTAGATTGAAGTGGCATGAAAGTAATTATGATATTATTTTGTTGGAGCTGGATGCTGATCATTGCTTTCTTGTACGTGAAAATTTAAACCAATATATTTTAATGACTGGTTCATTGTATTTTAAATTTATATGTGTTGTTAAATTGCAGGGACATGAGGAGCTTGATGCTGCCAGTTTGCGGGAACATGAGGAATTTACAAAAGTGAAAAATATAGCTACCATTGAGCTTGGAAGATATGAGATTGAGACATGGTACTTCTCCCCATTCCCACCAGAATACAATGACTGTTTGAAGCTGTACTTTTGTGAGTTTTGCCTCAATTTCATGAAGCGCAAAGAACAGCTTCAGAGGCATATGGTGAGCTATGCCTGAAAAAATCCTTTCATTTTACATTTCTTTGTTGTGTATGCAGTTTTTTTTTTTTTTTTTTTTTCATCAAGGGACCCTGGAATTTGCTGAGTTTTTTGGATTATTGGTTTTTATTTAGCTTTTTTTTTTTTCTTTTTTTTTTTTTTTAGTTAACAAACTCAGGCATTGAACTTATCTATGGGTAAAGTTTGTTTTCCTCCAAACAAAATTCTTGCTACCACGTTTGTCCTCCTATTAGTAACTGCACAAATACAGCTTAGTTTTTATTGATAGTAATCTGCACCAATCATGAGTATTCTTTTAAAGTTCTATTTTATTTAGCTTTCTATGGATTCCAAGCAATATGTGGTTTTGTATTGTTTGCCATTGAAATTTACTCAGGATTGTGCTTTTAATCTTTTAGTCATCTTTAAAATTTATTTCTTCTCTCTACTTATCTGTAAAGGAACTTTTTTATTGAAATGACTGTTTTTAGTTTCTTGAGCACTTGAAGATTGATAAAAAGGGTATTGTATGAAATAGTCTATGAAAAATATCTGGTGGTATTTATTCTTCACTCTCCCTAGGGACCCCAAAAAAGTAGAGGAAAGAAGCCAGTTTTATATACCAATGCAAATCACTTAAGCACCATTTTCATCCTCTTGTTCTAACATTGGCTTCCTGTTCATGAAGAGGAAATGTGATCTTAAGCATCCTCCTGGTGATGAGATATATAGAAGTGGAACACTGTCAATGTTTGAGGTACATTTTTAACACTTATGTTCTCAATATCACAAAATCCTCTTTTTTTCATCAGTACATCATTTCATCATGTTTAACTTTTTGAGTTCAAAATGAATTTAGTTTTTTTTCTCACTTATCTTCAAATCATTGTACAATGAATACTGTAAATTTTGGCTTATATTCCATTAGTACAAAATTGTAAACTTTTTACTATGTCTTAATAATATGATGCTTTTAATATAATTTGTCAGCTTGTGAAAATTAAAACCATTGACTGCAATCTGCTTCTCAGAATATGGAACACCCACATCAATCAAAACCTTGATAATGGGTGCTTGAAGTATGTTTTTGATTCTGACATGTATAGAGAGTGCGCTGTATTTCTGAATTTTATTTTTCTTTTGTACTTTGTTCTTTCTTTTTTTCAAAAATATATTAACCTTCTTTAATCCTGGTAGAGTTTTTTTAAAGGCATTGATATCAGTTCCCCAAATTTCTGCTGCTCCTACTATTACTTGATGAGCATCAGCTCTATTCCTTCATTGAATTATTTAAATGATTTCTAGTGTAAGTTAAAATCTCAAATATTTGAAATTATTTCGTTTTAGGAACATGACAGTTGTGTTATTTGGCTGGCATTTGCAAGTTGCAACAGTTATCTATGCATATTTTTTATTATTATCAAAATTTGAAATTTTTTTGCTTTTAATTATTTTTATATCTGGAAACAGGTTGATGGAAAAAAGAACAAGGTTTATGGGCAGAATCTTTGTTATTTAGCAAAGTTATTCCTTGATCACAAGACCCTCTATTATGATGTAGACCTGTTTCTGTTCTATGTTTTGTGTGAATGTGATGATCGAGGTTGTCACATGGTTGGCTATTTCTCCAAGGTAAAGTATGATAGTGCTGTTTCTAGAATTTTATATTTACTGGTAATATACCCATTTAATTTTTGTCTGTTATCTAAAGGTCTCCTTTTCGTTTCTCATTTATTGAAATTCTATGATCCCTATTTTTTTAAACGATGGACAACAAATGAACTTTTGTGAGGGCAAGGACCACATGTAATAGTAATACATTTCCAAAAAAATGAGGGACCAAAAGAGAGAATTTATTTTGGAGGGAACAAAAATGAACATTTTCTTATTTTCGATCGACTAAAGGCTTTACCCTCTGTACAATGATGAAGTTCTATTTCGGATAGCTGAGTTTATGATGTTCATTTATTCATTAATAGGCCTTAGTTATGGTTATGATAAAAGAACGTTGTTTTCATTTAAATATATTTAATCTTCAAAAGTTTTTATTTCTTAATCTTACATATATGTTCATTTTTTCCTTTACGTTATGGGTTAATCTTATTGATTTTGTTTACATTGTTGTTATGAAGGAAAAACACTCTGAGGAATCTTACAATTTGGCATGTATCTTAACCCTTCCACCTTACCAAAGGAAAGGCTATGGCAAATTTCTAATTGCTTTCTGTAAGCGCTCTCTCTCTATAAAACGGGCCTCTTTTTATTTACTAGTGCTTGGAGTATATGTGATAAAGTGTGACTGAAACTCATTGAAATTTCAATTATTAAATAGCATATGAACTGTCCAAGAAGGAGGGCAAAGTTGGCACACCTGAAAGACCCCTTTCAGACCTTGGACTGCTAAGCTACAGAGGATATTGGACCAGGGTTCTCTTAGATATTCTGAAGAAGCACAAGGGGAACATTTCAATAAAGGTACCTTATTCCTTTAAATTATTAATGTTTCTAGAGAAATGAAGAATTCTACTTTTCTGTTTACAAATAAAGAATTATTGGAATATAGTTTATCAATTAGGGTCCTTGACACTCTATGTAAAAGGTGAACTAAACATTTCCATATGTTTTCCTTTTCCTCTAACCTTTATTTCTGTTGTTCAAAGGCTATGTGCTATTGAAGAATTTTTTTTTTTTTTTTTCTTTTTTAACAGGAACTGAGTGATATGACTGCCATTAAAGCTGAAGATATATTAACCACCCTGCAGAGTCTAGAATTGATTCAATACAGGAAAGGTCAACATGTGATCTGCGCAGATCCCAAAGTGTTGGATCGCCATCTTAAAGCTGCTGGGAGGGGGGGCCTGGAGGTTGATGTTAGCAAATTGATCTGGACGCCTTATAAAGAACAAAGTTGACCCATCAGATGTAACTTGTACCTTTGTGTATAGAGTAGTATATAGCCTAGGTTTCTTAGACAATCCCTTTGACGACGACATATTATAGTATTAACAAGTAAGATGAGAATGAGAATAGGGACATAACTGATTGTGTTATACTGAACCGTAGCTGTAGCGTAGGTAATATGTATTCTCCGTATCTTTCTTCGTATCTAATGATGAATGCCAGAGGGAAATTTTTTTTTTTTATGGATATCATCGCATTCTGGGGTGCTATAGCTCCAGGTGTGAGTGTACCGTTTCTAAATTAACTCTAACAACTCTGGGCTAAAATGGATCAATCCATAGGTAATTCAATATCAGGCGGCAATGATCCAATTCTAGCCTTAAGCTGAATCAAATCTTACCCAATTGAAGTTGAATTTCACATTACTCTCTAGATTTAAATTTTACATGTAAGTTGTCTTTTTTTTGTATATAAAAAAAGTATAAGTTATTTTTTGCATTTTATTTTGTATTTATAAACAAGATATTTTATTTTATTAAATATGATAATTGAAATATTCTTTTTCTTAAAATAAAATAAAATAAATTGTGTTTTGAGATCTTATTTTTTAATATAACTATCTCTTAGTAAAATGTTTGAATCTTAGGAGGTATTTTTTTTAAAATTTTTGTCAATGTAGACATTTTACGTTAATATTATCACAAAGGAGAAACAAAAGAGAAAAAAACTAAATAAAAGAGAGATGCAATGCGAGACTAAAAACGAGCGAGGGAGGGAAAAAGAAAAAAAGAGAACGAAGGCAGATTTATTTTTTTTTCATTAAACTATTATTATTCACTGGGTAAATATATCATGAGTGTGTAAAACAATTGGTACAAGATTGTTTCAATGTAAATGATATTTCCAAATTTAATTATTATAATTATAATCTAATTCTTAAATTATAATTATATTAAATATTCAGTAAAAAAAAAACTTTGTCTTCTTAATTTTATGGAATTCAAACATAAACAACATGTACAAAGTCAATTATTAAAATGTTTGATTGAAGTATAACACAATAAGTAAATAAGATATAAATACAAAATAATACCACCAATGGCAATGTGTTTTCATTTTCCCTATTCTATGGGCTTTACAGTGTTAGATCCCGCATGCCTTTTGGGCCTTTGGGCAATGATTGCATTCGGGCCGAATGGAATCCATGAAAGCAAAACCCTAGTCACGCTCCTCTCTTTCGTTCCCATATTAGTCCCATTTCTTCACTCTGCCGCTGCAAAAGAACTTCTCTCACCGCGGGATTCCATAACATTCCGTCCCAAATGGTAAACTCCATAACTCTTCTCTTTTCTTTTTTCTTCCATTTCATTTCTCTCTTTCTATCTTCTAGAGCCAAATGAACCATTCTCTGGTTTGCTTATGTCTTTGCAGGCGTCCGAAAAGAAATTGTCGAATCCGATGCGAGAAATCAAAGTTCAGAAACTCGTCCTCAACATCTCCGTCGGCGAGAGCGGTGATCGTCTCACTCGCGCTGCCAAGGCACGAACAATTTATTTATTTTAATTTTGATGATAGTTTATCATAACATCCTCTTTTTCTCATTTTATCACCTTCGCCTATACTCTCTTGTCTTCATTCTCTCTCTCTACTTAGGTCCTCGAACAACTTAGTGGTCAAACCCCTGTTTTCTCCAAAGGTATTATCATTATTGTTATTTTTGCATTGTTGAATTTCTGGATTTCGATATTTAGTGCAACTTTTGAGTAAAAAAGCAGTAATTAATATTATAAAGATTATATATACTTTTAGTTTCTTATATTTGAAACTGCTTTATTTTTTGTTGTCTTTCAATTTTAAGATTGATCTTATTAACTCTTTGTAATTTGTAAAAAGTACGGTTTAGTCCCTTCAATCAAAACTCCTTCATGCCATCGGAAACAACAATGTGGTGAGGTGTTTGATGATAATAATATAAAATCAAGGTATATAAATTCAGATTTCGTGTAATTTTGCTTGTAATGTAAGTGAAATCTTTAGTAGTGTTTGAAATAAGGGATTAAAAGATCAATTTGGATTAATACTAAACTTATCTATAATTTGAAAAACTTCGATGCCGTATTTTAAGGTAGTTTTGTATTGTGATTAAAATAGAATTGAAGTTTCACTTCAGCGATTAATATAGTAAATGTTAGTGCTCTAGTACTCAGGTGAAACTGTATTTTGAATAAAAAAGCAGTACCAAAGGTTCCTACAGAACTGCATATAAGTTTTATCTGTGTTATTATTGTTTTTGTTTATTTTGAATTTTGAAAGCCATAGTTTTAAATTTTGTTTAATTGATTGATTTTTGCATTGCAGCAAGGTACACTGTGCGATCCTTTGGGATTAGAAGAAACGAGAAGATCGCGTGCTATGTGACTGTGAGAGGCGACAAGGCGATGCAGCTTTTGGAAAGTGGTTTGAAGGTGAAGGAGTACGAGCTGCTGAGAAGAAATTTCAGCGACACTGGCTGTTTCGGCTTCGGCATTCAGGAGCACATTGATTTGGGAATCAAGTAATTTTCTCATTATGCATAACATAACTGCTTGCTCATGTTTGAACACCAATTTCTGTTTCTTAGTCATCTAGTATGTTGGTGGTACGTCTCTTACAATTTAAATTATTACATATAGTTTTCCTATATGTGCTCAGTGTATGTAAAACTGAAACAGGGGGAAGAAAAAAAAAATTAACTAATTATGAATTATAGACAAAAAGAAATAGAATAGAGAAGTTGGTTTGTTTAGATGGATAACAATGGGAATTAGGAAGAACCAAAGAAAGAAGTGGGAAAATTTCCGAGTTTTTGTTTGAAAAAGAGGGAAGAACGGAAACGATGGAAGAAATAAGTTTACTAATTAAAAAAATTAGATTTATCACATAATTTTTCATGTCATTATATTCTAATGTTAGTCACAATGCAAGTAGTGTAAAATATCATTTGATCACACATTTTTCCTTTCTAACTTTGTAGTAACAATGTTTGTAACAATATATTCAATTGAAAATTTGATATTTATATCTTCTATTTCATGATTTCCCTTTCTATTTCTATAGGAAGAAAAAAATGCTTATTACATTTGTGTGCGTCAGGTACGATCCTTCTACTGGTATTTATGGAATGGATTTCTTTGTTGTTCTGGAGCGCCCTGGGTACCGTGTGGGACGACGTCGTCGTTGCAAGTCTCGTGTTGGAATCCAGCACCGTGTGACGAAGGAGGATGCCATGAAGTGGTTCCAAGTTAAATATGAAGGTGTCATCCTAAACAAGTCCCAGGCAATTGTTTAGTTTTAATCAGGCTCCCAACTTTTGTTGTTTATTATCGTTTGGTTTTTTTCTTCAATTATTACTACCGGATATTATTTTTACAGTTAGAGCTGTTTCTTGACAATTTTTGATATTAAATTGACATCGACGTTTATAACATGTATTTCTTCCATTTATCTACCTCTACCTCTTCCATTGTGTGGAATACTTCAGTATTTTTCATTGTTCATTCCATTTTACAGGGTTATGGTTTTCTTCTAGAGAGTTGGTGCTATTCTTCAATTAAATTTCGAGTTTTACTTTGATATACATTATGCTACAATCGATAAAACAAATATCGCATTTTCTATTTTACATTTTTATTAAAATCAATTTTAATTATTTATTATGTTTAAATATAATATAATATGTTTAGAATAATTATCAACTAATATATACGATTATGGTTTTGTAATATTTATAATAATTGTAATTTTTAATTATATGAAAAAATATAGTTTTATATATGTAATTAAGTCGTGATAGTTCATTTTTTAACTTAAGGAACTATTTTTAAGTATAATATAAATATGAAATAAAAATGTGATTAGTAACTAAATTTTATAAAACTAAAACTTAGTTTATTTGCATTCTCAAGTTATACGTGTTATGACGTGTTTATTTTAAACTCGGAGGAGAAGTAGTGTACATTATAGAGTCGCAAGCAAGGAAAGTAATATGAATTAGTTCAGATTGGTTATGTCACGAAAAAATATCTAAAACAAAAGATAGAGGAATTGTAAATGTTTCAGTTGTTTGGAGACATATTCTTCCATTCACAATCTGACCCTTACTTAGAAACTGAATGTCCCTTGAAGGGATTTACTTGATTTTTCTTTTATTTTTTCTTCTTATCAAGAGATGATTTGACACCCCACCAGTCAGTGACCAATATCCAATATTTATGACACGTAAATTGATATGTGAAAGATGTACTACTATCTGCGAATGACATTTTTCATCACATTTTATTTGGTTTGCATAACCTAATATCTAGATATTTAGAAGTCTATATTTCTATATCTTAAAATATGTATGACAAAGATTTTTTATTTTATATATTACTAAAAATATAACTAACCTTTTTTAAACATTACACGTATTAAATTATGAACAAATAATAATATTTTTAAAAATGTTGCTAAATAAGTAAATTAATAACATTTATAAATGTCTCTAATTAAAATAATAAAAAAAATTGAATGTTAAAAAAAAAGAAATAAATTAACAACACTTTTTAAATATTATTAATAATATGTTAAAAGATATTATTAAAATTGTATACTTGGTAAAATGTCACTAATGAAAATGGTAAATTTTTTCAACAATATATTTCAAATATTACTGAAAAAACAATTTTGTTGAAATGAGAGTCCCTCTCTCACTGAATTTATATAGGAATCAAAAGCATATATAAGCTGAAATTACTGGAGTACTTTGAAGATATAACTTTGGTAGAAAACTTGACATAAAAGCATCAAGAAAGAAATGGAAGCATAGAGAGGAAAAAAGATCATAACCAAAAGTGTTTTCTTTATGAGAACAGACACATAACTTGGCAGAATTGGGTTAAAAAAAAAAAAAAAAAAACTAAAATCATAAGCAAAGCCATATATCATTTTTCACATTCTGACATGGTTTTGTAAGTGTGGGGGGAAAACAAAGAACAATTGCTTTATTTGGGAAAGAAGTTATGCCTCAAATTCCCTAACCAGGGAAGGGAAAAATCAAACCCTATTACATTAACAAACCAAACTACACAAAAAGGAATAGTCTCTTGAACAAGAAAACCAAGGGTAACCTAGCTCCATGTATATATGTGATATAAATCCAATTCAATAACCTTCATATATAGAAACCTATCTCAAACATCTGAGTTGATTATTTGTGAGATTCAAAGCTAGGTCAAACCACACGTGCAAAGTCATGGCTTCTGGTCCAAGAACACCTAGATCAAGAACAACAAGAACACAAGCTTCCATTCGTCCTTTGTATGAAACTTTTGAGCCCAAGTCAGAGATGAAGGAAAATGAAAATGCATATTTTCTTCATGTTTATATTCCTGGTCAGTACTTTTCATTGCATGTCACTTTATTTTTTTATGGTTATTATATGCCCCGAATCAAAGCTTTTTAATTACACGCTTTAACGTGATTAGTGCATTGCAAAGAAACTAATACAATTATGTCTAGAAAATGCTATATTAATTTTGTAAGGTCTCATATGTGTGTATATATATATATATATATATATATATATATATATATATATATATATATAGTTTTTCTTATTCAAACACACAGAAGATTGTGTAGAACATACATGTGACATGCATGCAAATTTTAAGGTACTATTATGGAAAATTCACACATCATAATCTTTTGCATTCTACAGGTTTCATAAAGGAGAAGATAAAGATAAATTTTGTGAGATCTTCTCGAGTGGTGAGGGTTACAGGAGAACGAACACTGGGAGGCAACAGAATAAGCAACTTCGAGCAAACATATCCCGTTCCAGAAAATTGCGAGGTGGAGAAACTTCACGGTAAGTATGAGCTTGGAACTCTCATTGTTACCATGCCAAAGAAGCCCTTTGCTGTTTCACAAGTTTCTCCCAAATCACCTCACCAAATACCTCCAATTCCACCACTTAGTTCTTCTGAGAAACCTGTGCTTGATCTATCAAAGCCTAAAGAAGTAGCCATGCCTCCAAAATCTCCACTCCCTAGAATGGAACTAAGAGAAAAACCTATTGGAGATAAGTCACCAAGGCCTAAAAATGTTCAAGAGGAAACCATGTTGAAACCCACACCAATTTTTGCTTCAACCCCATTAAAGGAAATAGGTAAATCTCAAAAAGGTCAAGGGGAAATTGAGCCAAAATCCACCTCAGCAATAAGGGGTCATGACAGAAAAATACAAGATAAAAATGTGGTGGAAAATAAGCAAAATGACATTGCAACATATATAGAAAAAGTGAAGAAGAGAATACATGAAAAGGAAGATGAAGCAGATCGGAATAACCCTAATGAGAGAATGAAGTCAGGTCAGAGATACATTAATCACGATGAGGTTTGGAAAGGAGCAGAGATATTGAAGACAAGACCAAAGGAAGGTGAAGGGTCCACTGCTACAAAAGAAAAGGGAAAAGAAAGCACCCACAGAAGCATCGACAAAGGAAAGAGAAAAGAGGAGGAGGTGTACACAATAGAGAAGGGAATAAAAGAAGTGGTTGCTTCAGCTTCAGAGATAGTGACTAAAATTGGAGAAGGAAACTTGAATGATGAAGAAAAGCCTTTGGTTGCAAACATGGGTGCTGCAATTCTTGTGATTATGGCATTGGGAGCTTACGTGACTTACAAGTTTACCTCTTCTAGCAGAGCATGAACCTTGTTCTATGTGCTTGATTTAATCCTTCCAACATTTTCTTTGGAATCTGAGAGTGTAATTGGAATCATGCTATTGATTAAAAATGTAATTTTAATGATAAAATGTTTGAAAGGTTTGAATTCTTTAAAAGGATTACATATATTGCATTTCAAGTTGAGTTGTCTTTGCCACTGCATGCAATTCACCACACATGCTCAAAATAATTATTTCATAACTTCTACTATCAATATAATAAAGGTGATGATACTTTCACAATCCAATATTAAAACCAAGTTATAACCCGCATATAATAATATACTAATAATTAAGTAAAAAAGTTATTATTATATTATTATAAATGGACTCTGATCAAGTGATTAATATATCTAGTATTTGATTTTTAATGTCTCTTACCACATGTAACTAAAAACAATTAACTACAATTTATATTAATTGTGTTTTTATTTTTGGTGTTAAACTATTTATAACTAATGAATAATAAAAAAAATTGGAAAATGTCAACATGTTAGTAATTATTTTGAAATTGTTATCCCATCATTATATTTTATGACAAATCACTTCTATCATTTTCACACATGACAATATATATATATATTAACCACATGAGTGTTGTTAATTACATTAAACAATTTATGTCAGTTTAAGAAAACATTATCTTCATCATTTTATTATAACTACTAATACATATCATCTGCGGTTGTCATGTTGAAGAAGCAAATGAAGATATCTTTATTCATGGATGTGAATATGTTATTCCATGTGATATGATCTTTTTGAATGCATAAAAAAAATATACACACATTTGAATAATAAATTAACTTTAGAATTTTGTTGAAGTTGAATTATTTAAAGTGGGACATGGATTAGTGTCATGTTGCCACAACAAGTCATTACAGAAAACTCTAACTATACTATGATTTAAGCACAAAAGAAAAAATATCTTAGTAAGAAAAGACCGATATCTATTACATAGGAAAGTTTCAATGACTTTGTATCACCCAAATGAGTATTTTATTCTATTATTTAATTGAGAGTTATAATATATATTTCATTAGGATAAAAGTCAAACATATACATTCCTATTAGGCTTATATGCAGTGTAAGAAATAAAAACATTATCTAGCATCCAATAGTGAAATAGACACTTCATTAATTGAAGAAGAGATTTGGTTTCCAGAAGAAGATTCTACTTCACCATGAATCACCCTTTCTATCAAGAAACCAGGCTCCCTTGGTTGAGCTAAAATAGTTTCATTGGTCAACATAACAAGCACAGATGCCATGTTTGGTCTATCATCTGGATGATGTTGCAGACATAAAAGACCAACTTGAATGCAACGTAAGACTTCTGATATAACATACGACTCCCCCAAACAAATGTCAATCAAATTTGTTGGGTCACCCTCTTTCCACAATCTCCATGCCTATGGCAATTCAAAACCAATTGTTATAAACATTTCATTAAATTTAAGTATGTATATATATATATAGTTGATTTTGTTACTCACATGTCCAATGAGATTATAAGTATCACTTGCATATGTAAGTCCTCTATTTTTCTTTCCACTCACAATCTCCAACAATATTATACCAAAGCTGAATACATCAGATTTTATGGAGAACAACCCATCAGTGGCATATTCTGGTGCCATATATCCACTGAAAAGAACCACAAATAAGTTAATTATTTGAAGTTAAGTTTTCATTATAAATATGTAGTAAAATATACTTACTATGTTCCAACCACTCTGTTTGTGTTCCCTTCAATTTGATCATCTCCAAAAAGTTTTGCCAAGCCAAAATCTGAAATTTTTGGATTCATATCATTGTCTAGCAAAATGTTACTTGTTTTCAGATCTCTATGTATGATTCTTAGTCTAGAATCTTGATGCAGATAAAGAAGTCCACGAGCAATTGCACATATGATGTTGAAGCGCTTAGACCAGTCTAAAAGTTTACTTTGAGTTGGATCTGTTGACAATATCCATTTCATTGATTAGTATTTTATTCAAAACAACGAAAGATAAAATAAATCAAACGTTTATCAAATAATTAGAAAAATTATTAAAGATACCAACCAAAAAGAAATGAATCTAGGCTTCTGTTGGGCATATATTCATAAAGTAACATTATATCTTCTTCTTGAATGCAACAACCAAGGACTTTAACAAGATTTCGGTGTTGAAGTTTTGCACACAATATAACTTCGTTCTTGAATTCTTTCATTCCTTGTCTTGAACTCCTTGAGAGCCTTTTGACAGCAATATCTCTTCCATCTAGTAGTGTTCCCTAAATTTTATAGTTAAGATAATTTGTCAATTGATAAAGGAGTTTGTCTTACTATCAAAAGCATTCCATGTGAGTGTACCTTGTATACTGGTCCAAATCCACCTTCTCCAAGCTTGTTGTCTTCTGAGAAGCCATTGGTGGCATTGAATATGACAGGGAGATCAAAGAAAGGAAGCTCAAAATCTTGGTTTTCGTCTTCATCTTTCTTTTCTGTTGATACGAAGTTCTTTGTCTCATATTCTATTCCTATATACATATAAGAACAAAATCATTAAAAAATAAAATAAAATAATGAAAGTTATCAGCCTTACATCTATTTTTCAGCATACAGTTAGGTTGTTCAATGGAACATTTTTGGCTAAGAAACTTACTTCTATTCTTTCTTTTGGCCTTGTAAATATAAAAGAAGACAACTGCAAGTAGCAAAATGGTGACAGACACAAGTGGGATCGTAATTACTAAAGCCCTTTTTCTTGAATCTTCATCTGAAGCTGCACTTGTGAAATTTCATGTGTATGATGATGAAGTAGAGACAATAATTAAATAACTCTAAAATTTAGAAGAAGATAGCATATAACATAGTTAACCTGGAACAGCCATTCGAATATATAGATCTTGTTGGCTTGCTTGAACCAATTTCAAATCAATAAGATCACCAAACCAAATGGAACAACCACTGCCACCTTCCCTTATGTCCAAGTTTGAATAAGCCATGCAAGAGCAATTTTCCAAGCATTTGATCCTACAATTTTCAAGTGAGAAATTTCCATAAGTCCAAGAATTTCTCGTATCAGGAACTTTCATTGAAGCAAATCTACGAAAACCATCTTGATTCTTCACCCCACAACTCCAAGGATCACTACGCACACATCCTTGTGTCCAGTCAAACGTGTTCCAATTCTGAGGAGATTTTGGTTCAAATCCTTCTAAACACTGGCAAATTGGTGTCTCATTAACCATGCAATTTCCATTTGGGCCACATGGGTTATAAGGATCACAAGAATCTCTAGGCACAGACTCATAAACCCTCCAAGTTTTGTTTTCAGGAATCCATGTGATGCGTTCGCGATGAAGAAGAGTTTGGTTCAAGTAAGTTATTGAGATCACTGACTTGTTCACAAGGGTGTATGAGTAATAAACCTCATTTGAATCATTGACAAATTTGGTGTCAACAATTGGAGTGATTCTCAATACGGGCTGGCCACTAAACCCAGGCCCGTTCCACGGCCCACTCCTATGATACTCAACTGAACCTTTCCTCAGAACCAATTCAGGGTTACTACTTAGGAGCATTTCCCAAGTTAAGTTCCCTGAAGATGGATCATCCCAACTCTTCCATGCAGTTAGTTTCCTATCAATACCCTTTTTAAGGTCCCATCCAAGCTTCATTCCTGGCAAGAGAGTATCACAAGGGTGGTCAAAGCTTTGCCACAAAAAACTTTCTTCATTGTTGTTGTTGTTGTTGCCTTCTTTAAGCACCAAGTTTCCAGTGTCTAAGAGCTGCACCATGGGACTCAACAAAGTCTGAGTTGTGATGTTTGTTGACCAAATAGTTTGATTGTTGTTGTTGTTGAGAAGCACCATGTTTCCCTCTTTGGTGATGGTTAACATGCTGGAGTTGTTGTTGTTATTGTTTTCTTTGATTGGATTGTCACGGTTGGCAACCCAAACAATGGTTCTAACTGGGATGATTTTGTACCATACTCCTATGTAGCGGTTTGTGGAACTACCAGGACTGAAGAACCCTAACTCAAAGGTTCCATCATTGGAAACTAAGGTGCTGCCATCATCATGAAGTGGTTGAGATTGAGTGATGGTGTCTAATGCAGTGGACAATTGAGAGAAGAAGATTAGTAGTAGCTTTGAAATAGTGATAGCAAGCATGAATGAATGAGTAGCCATTTTTGTGTTGATTGCTGGTGCATGCTATTGAGCACAACTGATGAAACATGTATATGGTATGGAAATTGGCTAGAGGTGTGCTGGTCATTGGAACATTCTATTCATGGCGGTCAATGGACGGCACCAGAGTAATAAATTATTTGTCATTGAAGAGGAAATTTGATGAACAAATTCCAAGCCATCTTTGTCGATCACATACATTAATTGTTGGGTCAATTGATGAACACATATCCTTCAATTATTTGATCAAACATTAAGTATACATAAGAAAATGTTGGTTATGAGTAATTCTTTCCATTTAATAAGTCTTCTCTAGAATAAAGTCATGATTTCATAAGAAAATTATAAAATAATCAGTTAAGTCGTTTTCAATTACAAATTCTTTAACATAAAAATTAATGGAGTATATATATCTACTTTTTTTATTCTGCAAAAAAAGAAAAGCCAACGTTTCTAATCCTCTGACTTTTAGTTCTAATTCCATCACCCAAATATATCTTAAATTTTTAATTCAGTTAAAATTATACAAAGTAATACTATAAATATTTTAAACTTGATTAAACTTTACATCTTTAATATATAATTAGTTTTTATTTTGAATATCTAATATTTTTTTAATGCAGTACAAACGTTGGTGTAAGCTTTATTTATTTATTCTTGAAAATTCTTGTAAGATATTTGTATAAAAAGTCAAAGTAGAATACTAAGAAAAATTTTGTATACGAGGTCCTTGAATAGCATTGATGTGACTCAAAGAATTTATAATTGAAAGAAAATATTTGTTTAGAATATTTATTCATGAGTTAATGCGTTGGAGTAACTTGAAGTCCAGGGAATTACCCATTCTAGGGCATTAATTACTTGAATGTTAGAAAGATAAGGGTGTCTTTTTATTCATTCTGTACTAACAAAAAAAATAATAATTGTTTCTCACTTTAAATTACATTTTAAATTAGTTGGAATTTTATTGTAATATATTTTAAGTTTTGACTGAAAAATCTAGGCCTATTTCAAGTTTTTTTTCCCTAAATTTTAAAAGTAAAAAAAATATAAATATGAATGTAAAATAACTCTCAAATCATTTAATATAAAAAAGATAGCAGGTTTTTGGAGTATCTATACTATCGGAAATCTGTGTAGTTTTTTTTTTTAAATATAGTATCTTAAAATAATATTAAATTTTGTAAATTACATATGATTTTGAAATAAAAAAAATAATTTATTGTAGTAGTGTGGTATTAGCTTGTGCCAAATATGACCAAAATTGCTTAGCTTTTGTATAAACCTAGACACATCATTTAGTCATTTTTGTCCTTTTAATCATCATCCAAGTCAACTGATTTCAAGTGGTGGTGGTGGTGGTGGTTCCCATACCATAAAGGTCATCATGGTTAAGCTTTGGCAGTAAGAAAGTCTCTCACCCCTTTTTCTATTTTCTTTCTAAACTTTAATACTATTGGTTATTTTGTTGGATTCATGAAAAATCCCTTTTGTTGGAATTTCAATCTTGTTCAGCCACTCTCATCACATATAAGAGACGTGTGTGTGTGTGTGTGTGAATTTGTATTGCACTTATGCACATCATTGATTCCTCCTCACTCAATCTTAATAAATCTAATTAACTATCCATAAAAGGAATGCTGCCAAGGAGTGCATCTCAAATAACTGACTAAACCATGAATTAGTTTCACTGAATGAGCAAAACAGTAAAAACGCATCTTTCTTCTCTTTTTTGATTGCAAGAAGGGAGTTTGAACAAGCAAAACATGAATCCAAAACGACAAATTTGCATATCCTATGTGGTGTCTACGTAGATCCTCCCAATGTCATAAGTCCTGCGGCAAGTTGACCTCAACAAATCCTGTTCGAAAGTAACATGCAGATGTTCTAGTTAGTTGCTCCAACAGAGAAAATGTTGATGTTATTGAAGCATTGGGATAATATTGATTCACTCTTAAAAATAGCATGACAAATGAACCTTTTTCATGTGCATATATGGATGGCAGATCCAATATAGAACTTCGTAGGAAAAAACATCATTTGTTCAAACCATTCCAAAAGCACGTTTTGCAGAATCAAGGGTGTTGGAGAGGAGCATTGATACTGTAACTGGTCCCACACCTCCAGGAACAGGGGTAATCGCTGATGCCACCTTAACTGCCTCTTCAAAGCATACATCTCCTGAGACACGAAAGCCATGGCCGCTGGGGTCCTACAAAATTGTACTTAAATGCATTTAGATAATATTAAGTTCATAATGAGCTACCCTTCTGTCTTGATACCATACATACACCTTCAGGTCTTGTTTCAGCCTCTAACAGATTTTTGAAACAAAGTTCATATGAAATGTGATCCATACTGATACCAGTTTGGAACCTCTAAGTAAAGGAACACTAAAGTATCTTTACACTATTACTGTCACATCTTTGTTTTTACCTTCATACATCCATTTTCTTCAAGCTTATGCGTTGTAAGGATAATAAAGAAAATGAGTATCTGAATATTACAAACAACCACAGAGAGCAGTAGGATTTGATATCATGGAAAACCGTTATGCAATGATTATAATGAGCTAATTTGGCGATTATTTTGAGTCAAAGTATTGGCTCACAAGCTCGGTAAATATTCATGTATTCAATTAAGTGAAGAAATATAAATTTGTATATTTCATATATTCATGTACTAGTGAAGCTGATTCTCTTACCAATGTTTTTCTCTCGTTAAAGGTTTTTCTCTCTCAAGATATTGTAATGAATTTACAAAGATGTTAATGGGTGCTAATTTATATTGGTACCCATAAGTTCTTTTTTTTTTCTATTTTTATGCCAAGTATTTCTTCTTTGGTTTTCCTACTTTGATCAACAATCTCCAATTTGAAGAATGAATTGAATCTAACTTCACACTTCAATCAATGCAGCAACATTTTCTACTTTGTTACTCGTGCAAGCCAACTGAAGCTGTAGACAACTTATGTTTGTCAGCAATCACCACCTTTGCCAACATATTTGCTAGGTTATGCTTCCTTGAATCTTATTCAATATTAACATTTTATCATTAAAGAGAGACCAATTCAAGTGATAACAAAAATTAATATGCTTTATTCTAAAGTGAAATTTTGAACTTTGTCAAATGTATCAAACTTTGACAATCACTATGCAAAACACTCTTCTCATGAATGAATCCTAATTCTCTTAGCAATTGTTAAGTTATAATAATTATTTACTATCTTTTATTAGTGCTATATACTCAGCCTCTATTGTGTATAAAACAACAATCTTATGTATCTATGACATCCAACTAACTGACTATAGTTCCAACATTAAAAAGGTGTAACTAGGGGTAATTCTTCAATGATCAACTTTACCTACAAAATTTGCATCCACATAACCCTGTACTATTAAATCTTTTATCAAAGTACAAACACTTCTATGTAGTGCCTCAGAGATACCTCAAAATCCACTTAATTTCTTCTCAATGAGGTTTACTTGGATTTGACAAAACCTGCTGACAACACCCTTTATATCATCCATATCTGACTTCAACAAACCATTGCATTTCGTTAAAATTCCAATGGTTGAGCATATGAGCCCTACGTCATGAATTCTATTATTCCTCTGCCTAAAAAGTAAATATGATGGGTTTATGCACAAGGAAGGTTTCCAGATTGCAATGTCTTGTTGCTTCTTCCAGAGATATATGAGTATGGTTATATTATTTTCCTTCTTTATATTGATCATATATTAGTAGCTGGTTTGGATATAGCGAGATCAAAGGCTTAGAGAAACAATTGTCAAAAGAATTTGAAATGAAGAACTTGGGTAAGAAAAAGGTATATTGTAATTATCTCAAGTAGAACGCATCAATTGTGTTTTTCAAATATTTAATGTGGGTGATGCTAAACCACTAGTCACCACACCTTTCACCACCGGTGACCAATCCCCTCAAGCAAAGGAAGAAGGAGAATTCAAGACCAACTTTCCATATGCTTCAACCATTGAAAGTTTGGTGTATGCAATTATTTGTACAAGGCCAGATATCAACCAAGTAATGGGAGTTGTTATCAAATTTATGTCAAATCCAAGAAAATCTCATTGGAAAATAGTTAAGTTGATTTTGATGTATCTATGAGACACTAGAGAAGTGTTTGTACTTTGGTAAAGGAGAATTGAAAGTACAAGACTATGAAAATGAAAACTTAGTAGATAAAATTGATTATTGAAGAAGTACCACTAGTTACATATTTATTGTTAGAACTACAGTTGTTGTTGGGTCTTGTAGATATAGAAAACTGTTTCTTCATCCACTACAACAGTTGATTATGTAGTAGTGACAGAAGCTTATTTGCGATTCATTCAACTGAAGACTTCAAATTGTAGCACATCTAAAATACTAAAGAAAGAAGTCATCACCTTAACTTGATTTGATCCCATGTCAATGACTACAGCTCCTTTCTTTAGCCAATTTCCTCGAACTATGTTGGGGATTCCAACATCTGCTACCACAATATCTGCTTCAGAAGTTATTTGTTGTGGATCCTTTGTGTATGCATGTAACATGCTGACTGTTGCGTGGTGCCTCTACTAAAAAGATGATGGATGAATCAGCCATTTAGCAATTGAGACATTCCACTCAGCAACAACATTTATGTTACCTGCAATAGTAAGGAAGTGGGTAACCCCACAATTTTACTTCTTCCAATTATCACTGCTCTTTTCCCCTTGATCTCCACACCATGCCTAAGTAACAACTCAATGCAGCCCTTGGGGGCACACGGAATAAACAAGGGTTTTCTTCCTCTTATTGCAAGATTTCCCACATTCAAGGGATGAAAGCCATCCACGTCCTTTTCAGGACTTACAACATTGATAATTTTCTCCTCATCCAAATGCTGCATCAAATATGTTAGAATAACTAAGGCATTAATATCAACATCCACCACACAGGATTAAATCACCAAAAAAACCAAAAATCCTATAATCGAATCCTTCGGAACTATATTTTTTAAAGCACAACTGAAATCATTCCATCAGATCAGACAATAGGATTGTTTTTAATAATGTTTACTAATAACAATTAATTATTAAACAACCTCAAGGGGTTGGTCCAGTGGAGTAACACGAACTCTCACATATGACATGAGATGTTTCTAAAACAGACAAAGGTAAAGTTTTAAAAATATAGTCAATAAATGGGAAATTAAATATTATCAAAAACAACAATCATTAAGCAGTTAAAATGATGAATGAATTACTTGAGGCAGAGGAAGCTGCACAATAATTCCATGTACATCCGGGTCCAGATTAAAACCAGAAACAGCATCGAGCAGGTCACTTTCAGCACAGTTTTCTGGCAACTGGGTAACCACAGTTTCAATGCCAACTTGATTACAAGCCTTCAACTTAATGTGAATGAAAGTGTGAGAATCTCTCCTATCACCCACCAAAACCACAGACAATCTAGGAAACCTCCCAATGCTAATCTTCATCCTTCTTAATTCATCAGTCACTCTAAGCTTTATCTCCTTAGCAATTGGTTTCCCCTCAAGAATCACAGCATTGTGCTCATTAGCACCTAAAGGAATCGCAAGACGCAAACAACCAAAAAGAAACAAAACATGTTGACACCAAAGCAGAGGCTTCAAATGATCATAAAATTTCAAATTTACATCAAAGGACTTACGTTGGAGACTTTCTTGGGAGAGGGTATGAGAGGGTGTGTGCTCTCTGGGAAGCCAAACATCAGGGAGGTTGGGGCCAAGCAATGCTTTTCTGAGCGTTCTATGCCATGCCACCACCCCAGCAGTGGCACAACCTCTAATGTTCATATTTGTGTTGATTTGTGAGTACGAAAGTGGAGATTGAAGCCACCACACTTTGAGGGTACACTTCAATGTTTCAGCTTTCAAAAACAAAAACAAATAAAATTTCAATTCATGAGATTGGATTTCTTTGACTTCATCGTTCCCACGTGTTCAGTGTTCTGCCACGTGACCTACTAAGTACTAACAAAAAATTATTATACAACAGAAAATCTAACAAAATAAAGAAAACTGGGACGAAAAGATATTATTAAAAATACAAACTGATATTTTTTTCCCTTGATTTTTTTATGTATTATTGAGAGTTAATTGAAACTTATATTTAAAAATAAAAAGCGATTCTATTAAAAAAAAGATTTAAATTGAGTATGTGATTCAATTGAATTGGTTAAAAAATTAGTCCTCCGCTTTTCTTGAAATGTTATTTCAAGAGACATAAAATTTGAGGAGAATATATATATATATATATATATATATATATATATATATATATATATATTCTTTTCAAAAGATGAAACAAGTTTTTAATAATATATGAAAAATAATTTCGTGTTATTTAAAATTTTTGGTTCATTTAATTTTTATTTATATTGTTTTATAATTTCTTCTTCTTCCATTAATTTAAGTAAATAGAGTAATATTTATATATATATTTTTTATATATGAACCTAGAAGTAATTTCTCTTATTAACAAAATGTTTGGATGAAAGTTTTAAGTGTTTTTTGTAGTTTTTTTTTTCTGATTAAAAAAATCTCTAAATCTCTTCTAAGATGCTCTATTCCAATTCTAAATGTTTAATTTGAAGCATTCTAAAATAATCAGTGAAACTGTACAAGTAAGGTCATGGATAATATGTTTAGTTAATTGTGTGTATGTGTAAAAATAAAGCACGTTTACCCTTATGAAGTGTATGAGCCAAACAAAGAACTTTTGACTTTATTTATTGGAGAAGTTATACCTCACATACGAGTAGGGGAAAATCACAAAGTTTAATCACGTAGGAGAATCATAGAAACCAAAAAGGAATCGTTTTGTCTTTAAGAAAACTCAACATCTCAACTATTCACTATAAAATGAGAGGAACCAAATCATGTTCAAGAAAGATTCATTCTAACTTAGCATTTCCTGAATTTGAAAAAAAAAAAAAATCGAAGAGAAAGGGTTGGAAAATGTCCACTTATCAAGATTTGGAAGCCAAATATGAAACCGAGGAAACGCCAGAATCACTCATGCTGCGTGTTCACTTTCCTAATGGTTCGTTTGGTTTATCATTTGTTCAATTATTAAATTTATCAAGTATTGATTTTCTGTTAAAGTAATCATTTACACATGAATCACTTTCTGTATCAAATATTAGTAAATCTAAGTTTTAATCATCATACCCTTTATATAGATACTAAAGTTATTTTTTTGTTAAAGCAGTTTTTGCTTTAAAAAACAAAACCTTTGTATATATTCTTCCTTTTTCATCTCATTTTAACTTAATTTTTTAATGAGAAAGGTTGTTTTTACCACATTTCATACATTTTTTAACCTCTTTCTCTTATAATTCATTTATTACAAGATGGTATGGTATAAATTGTCATGTGTGTAACAAGTCTCTTATTTATGAGTTAGATCATTTATTATATCTATATATTCTTTTTATTTCTTTCTTCATTTTTGGAGGTTAAGTTGAACATTTCCATTCTATAACCATGTGCATGTTGTTGCTCATGATACAGGTTTTGAACGTGAGCATATTGGTGGTAAGGTTGAATACGATCTTGCAAGGGTGAGAGTTCATGGTGAAAGATCTCTTGGATACGGAGGAAAGGTCCGTTTCAATACATTTTATCAAGTTCCAGAATATTGTGACATAAAAAAGGTTAAGGGAAAGTTCGATGGAAAAACTGTCATCATCACAATACCAACTATTCCAGGTAAAGTCCCTAAAAAAGAGCCACAAGAACCTCCCAAAGAACCAGCACAAGAAGCAGAATCAAACCCTGAAGATGATAAACAAGGTGCCCCTACTCCTACAGATGATAATCAAGAGAAAACCAAATCAACAACTGAGAGTAAAAAAGAGGCTGATCATGAGACTTCAGCACCACCAAATGCCACACAAGAGCCTATGCATCAAAAGGGTCAAGAGGGAGATCAACAAAAAGCTACAATAACTAAAGTTGAAAGTGGAAAACAAGTTGGTCAAGAGACTTCAACCCCAACAAAGGACACAGAAGAGTCTAAGTCTCAAAAGGGTCAAGAAGGAATCCCCCCAAAAGCTGATAGTACAAAAGTTTGTCATGATGGATCAACTTCAACCCCACAAGAACACACAAAAGAATCTATGCCTCAAAAGGGTAAAGAAGAAACTCCCCCAAAAACTACCTTTTCAACAAATGCCAAGCTTCAAGGAGAGGAAAAGTTTGCAGAGGAAAATGATGAGAATGAGGAAAAGCAGAAGTCTAATGAAAAGGTAGAAAGCGAAGACCGTTCCAAGAAGGATTTGGAATCAGGAAAGGCACATGAAAAGGATGGGGTGGAGGATTCCCCTAAAAGGGAAATCAAAGAAGAAAGTAAAGGGTTGGGAACATTTGAAGGAGAGAAAATGAATGGTAAAATTGGCAATGATGTTGGATACAAGAGTGATGAAAAGGCCATGCCTGAATCAGCAACAAGGTCTAGAATTAAGGAAGTAGCTGCTTCTGCTTCTCAAGCTGTGACTAGTCTAGCCAAGAGGTTCAATGAAGAAGATAAACAAAGGATAATATACATGGGGGCAGCAGTTCTCGTGGTGGCACTAGGAGTTTATGCTACCTACAAGCTTCGTTTACGTAGACCATAGGGAAACTAATCACATGGTTTCTTGTTATAGAAAGTTTCCTTTCAATAAATAAGGACTATCTATGTATGCAATTATGCCTCTGCTAACTATTGTGTGTGGTTTGTACTCAACAGATAATAAACCAGAGAGATAACAATTGAAAAACCATATGCTTAGTAATAATATTTGTGGTACTTGCAATATCACAGATATTGATTGCACTTTTCTTCTTGATTTCCACACTATGCCTAAATGACAAACTCAATTATATGTCAATTTTTATGAATAAAAATATAATATATAGTCATTGGATGCGCAAGCCAATGGGGTAAATTGAGTAAAAACTGAAAGGAGATGGATTAAAGAAAGTAAAGCATTAATTTCCCCATAAATATTTAAAAATGGATATCTAAGGAACTGATAGAAAGTAACACATAAAGTGATGTTATTGTTTCTTGAAACATTATTACTTTATTTTTTAACCATTTATGTAAATTATATGATAAGATTCATAAAATAAGTGAATTTCTTGTAAGCCATACACTTACTTCTAATGCAATAGAAACTTTTGAACATCAATGTTATTAGGATAAACCCTAAAAAATCACACCTCAATCCCAATGATGATGTAATCCATATCATATGACTGTTGTTCATAAACCCCCAAAGTAGTTAAAATCAGGATTTACTAAAACAAATAGAAATATAAAACACTTACATAATATAATTTAAATATCTGGTACATATAGATTACATGTAACACACTCATTCAAATAACTTCAAAATTTCAAGTTTTGATCACTACTCAATACCAAAAGCAAAAGCAAAAATCTAAATCATTATTATAACAATTAATTCAAGCTCAAATCACAATAATCATCTTCCACATGATCTTCACTCCATTCCTTTAAGGTAAATCAAGAATCTTCAAATCATCAGAGTACTACCATCACCATCTCTGAATGTTATATGAAATTTCATCATTATCTATAACAACATATCATCGCATGAAATATCATTCACATTATATACATGTTTTTTAATTAGCTTTTTTTTTTTTCAAATAGGTTCAATTATTTGTAAGACCTAAAAATAAACAAATGTAAATAAGCATATGAAAAAAAGAAATATGATTTATGCTTTTCAATTTTACTTTCAAAGAAACACTCAAATTATGCTCTCACCAATATGCATTGCATGTCAACTTTAATATTTGAAAAAAGAACATTTCTAGATCTCTATATGTTCCTTCACATAATATTCACGTCATTATGAAGATTGGATACAAAACTAAAACTGTTTTTTTAAAACTTGTCAATTCTGAAATAAAAATATCCACATTTCTAGTAGAGAAGATCTCAAAAAAACGTACACTATAGTTATGGTACTAAGTACAATTTTGGCTATCAAAATATTTCTTTTATTCTTGAAGCCTTCAAACTAAGCATCAATATACAACACTTACCTCCATCATTTTTTACTAGTCATACATAAACTTTTAACTTCAAAATCAACTTTATATCTAGGACTAGTGTGATTGAGAGATAAGATAATGGATGAAAACATGCAATTTCCTACTAAGTTGTTTGTCTAATGATTCATTAATGAGATAATGCATATATCTAAATATCTAAATAATGAAAAAATAATGATTACTTTTCAAACAAAGATTTAACAAAATTTAAACTGAATTGGTAATTTATTTACCTTTTAGTGACACCATGAAAGGCATTTTGCATATTCTCGTTTGCCCAATCCATACCCTCATACATCATGGTTGGCCTCACGTCCAAATCAACCAAACAGCACTTTGCTTAGATAAGCCCCTCAAATAAATCACAATAATGTCTTTTTTAAAACTAGGGTTACTAAAAACTGAACTAAACTAAATTGGTACCAAACTAAACGGCATTAAAAGAACTAAAATTTTTCTCATGAAAAAATTAGTTGAGATATTTATTTAATATTGCTAACCCAAAGGTTCAACGAGCTAACATTGGTCATTCAAACATGTTCACATGAACTCAAACCTACATGGACAAAAAACTCTATTATCGATGAGGATGGCCAGAAAAAAGATTAATTAAAGGACACGCCAGTTTTCAGTAGCCACCACCAAATTATAAACATAGGTCAAGGACAGAGAAAAAGGAGGCAAGTTTAACTAAAGCTATGCAAACGTATGATTTTTAAGAAATGAAAACCACAGAAAAAAAATGATAAAAAAATTGTGCCTTTGTAAACAAGAATTTCATAATCTACAATCATTCATCAGAAAGGCCATCACCATGAAAACTGTTACCATTATCTTGGCCAACCAAAGATTTGCTCCTAGGTTTTGCCAATTTGCTAGATTTTGAGGATTTCTTAACTTTTTCTGCTTGCAATTCCAACACCTTCTCTGAAGGTTTCCGCTTTCTTTTAATGCGCCCAGTATCGTCTTCATAAAAATGGAAAAATAAAATATTATTAAAGGCATCATAAGAGTCAGGGGTCCAGATCAGAAAGATGCACACACAATACATTGACATTTCAACCACACTGGGTATAAAATTTGAGGAGATTTCGAAACTTTATAGAAGCTTAATCACCGAGCTAATTGGTCCTAAACTGCAATTAACAACCTAGCATTATACTTGGCTAATAAGAAATACAGAAAAAAAAAAAAAAAGAGAGAGAAAGGGCACAAATAATGATGCATTTCCTTTTAGGTGGTTGAAGAGAAGTTGACATAAAAAAACAAGATTAGAAATTTGTTTCTCCTCCATTATCTTCATCTCAAATTTCAAATTTTTTTTCCTCCAGTTATTTTTTCTCCATTCAAACAGAGACATGTAATTATCCCATTTCTTTCAGAAATAGACTTAATCAAGTGGAGTTGCAAATTCCAAAATTAAGTCTAACGGATAAATTTATGGGTGAAGTTACAAGATGATGATTCCATAGCTTTATTATTTGGAGTAGTGGGATTAGAATTAGAATTTATGATTGGTAAGAACTAAAATACTTAGCTAGAAGCATATAACGCAAAGCATGTTATTACCTTCAAGATTACTGGATGCATGATTCATCATATGTCCATTTGGTCCAGCTTCTTCTGAAAGAGGGGATACAGTGTTATTGCTGTCCAACAACTTTGAAGAACTTTCTACACACTTATCTTGCTGTTGAGGAGCATCACGACTAGGCGTTGCTGGCAAGAAACATAGCTCTTCTTGAGACATATCAGAATCACTGAAAGTGGTATCTTTCTCCACTGATACAATGTCAACTTCCTCATCTTCATTTACATCAGGTCCTTTAACCTGCAAAACAAAAGAAGAATGGGCAGCAAGAAACAAAGATGTCCATGGATGACCAATCTAATAAAATAACATTACCTTCTCAGTATCAGGAATCAGATCAAATTCATCTTCATGCTCTACATACTCCTCATTTTCCTCGAGCTCCTTGAAATCAGGAGCAAATGCACTCCAATTCTCAGTATAATCTTTTGCCCATATATAAACTAAGCCATTCAGGGAAACAGATACAAAAATAGGATGTACAGGATGCCATGCTAAATCTATAAGAGCTTCCTTTGGCCCTTCAAGGATTTTCACAAGATGTCCAGCCCTATCCCATACGTAAATCTTGTGCTCACCTTTGCTAGCAGAACCACCAACTACACACTCACCATCACCACTGAAGCAAGGTGCTTTCCAATGTACCTTTGTGATGGAATCTTGAAATTCCCGGAGTAAAATTAAATATTTTGATCCAATGGCCTTCAACTTCTCACTATTATTTAGATTGCCAAGGTTCTCATTCAGGTCATCAAGGGCTCTGACCTCATCTTTCAAGGGCAGAAGGTTTTCATAGATCCTTAATATTCGATCATTTGAATTCGTGAGGAGATACTGCCCATTCCTGCTGAACACAATGTTCTTTACAACAGAACCACCAGTGATTGGAACTACAGCACGCACATCACCATTTTTGTAATCAATAACAAGAATTTCACCTTTTGAGTTCCCCAGATAAATCAGGGTCCCGTGCTTGTTAAAACAAGCAGCAGTTGGAGTGAAGGAGGTAATTCCATCAGAAGACTTATTGCGTGAAGGAGGGATTGGTCCATTGCTTGTCTCTGATACAGAAACTTTAAGCAAAGTTGTGGTTCCTGTATTCAGGTCAACAATCATAGGAGCACATGAAAGAGGACATGCTAAGCAAAGAGATGATGTTGAGGATCCTGGATGAAGACGAGCTTGTAGAGGGGTTTGTTGCAACACTATTCGTGTTATCTTCTTACCACTCATAACATCCCACAAAATCAATGATTTGTCAGCAGCTGATATCAGAATTCGATGACCATACTTTGACCAACAGATACTAGTTATGGGGGAAGAACATTCATCATCATGAAGAATCTTAGCAATACCTCTGGTTTCAAAATCCCAAATAACAGTACTTCCATCATTGCAGCCAGCTGGTTCAATTGAGCAAATCAATATCAAAATGAGAAAATTGATAGCATCATAGAATAAATCCAATAACTTTTGAATGGATAGCACACATCATGGAAATAAGTTCGTGATTCAGAAAATGATGTACCACAGATTTCAAAGAGAATATCCACTAATCATTTCTCTTGAAATCCAATCCCAAAAGGAAAATATGTCTAAATAAAATCAAATCAGAATGTTTTTTCAGAATTCTTGAACTTAACGAGTCTGTCCAAGCTCCTTACTGATAAATTGAATATAAAAATAGAATAACCATCAGATTAGCGAAGTCCATAACCGAAATGGATACCTTAAAATATAAACCCAACAAAAGTTGTTCCATCATGAGCAAAAATTCAGGCGAGAGCCAGATCATAGATGGTTCAGAAAGAATCTGATTCAACTAGTGCAATCAAAATAAACCGAAACTCAAAGTAACTGATTAGTAGTTACCTCTTGCCTGCAATCATTTCATACTTGGTTCATGAAGTTGAACCGCTCATACCATTAACTTTAAAGTGCATGCAATAATTACAAATGTTTAACAGTCAACTGTGTTGGTAGAGTACGTGGTTCATGTGTCACATGCCAAAGTGACTTTATGTTCATCAGTTTCAGTGTCTAGCAGAAGCAGTTTGCATCGCTTATTTTAATCCTAGGGAATAGTCTCCACTTAGTATATCAACAGTCTACATAATGATGATACGCAGAACCTAACCACTACATTTCTAAAAGAATAAAAAATATATTTCTCTTAATTCCCTCTGAATATTCTGTTCAGTACTGTTTCTCTCTAAATTCAATAAACCATACAATGAACAGGACTTGCATAAAAGATTAACTTATTTTTCAACATGAAACGAAGCTTAGAGATTAACATTAAAAACATTGGAACGAATCAAACAGTACGTAAAATGGCAATGCATTTTTCAGCCTTGTAATTGAGTATTACTTGGACACAAAGTAAGCTTGAATTCTCCAACCAAATATTCAAAAAATGCAAGGAAACCCTTGCTTAAACAGCAAGGCCACACATACCCGTCACATCCTCATAAATTAATCCAAGCATAACGGGCGAAAAGTAAACGTCAACCACATCATGCATATCATGTTTATCCAGTGCATTGAGCACCAATTGCATCATTACTACGTTAGGGAAAAACGTATGAATACACATTGCTATTTCTCCATACCCAATCCCACGTCTGATGCTAGAATCCCAAACTCAACATACCCCATAAGGAAAACTGCCAAAAAAAAAAAAACTGCTTTTACAATCTGAGTAAAAATAATGTTCTTTTCTTATCTGGGTCATCAGGGAAAAAGGGACATACTCACTGAATTCGCTACTTTAAATCGCCATTAAAACATTAAAAAACAGTTTTTACCCAGAACCCATTTTCTAAACCCAAACTACTAGCATGAACCCCAAAAATCAGAAGACAAAAACTTTGCGCGAAAATGCATCAAAGGAGAATACTCAGAAAGGACCACAGCGGCAGTTGAATATGAAAAATGGAAGAGTAAGAGAGAGGTTACCAGCAAGAAGGGTACCGCGACGATTGAAGGCAATACATTTCATACATCCATGTTCCAAATACTCCTCTATGACTTCTGGAAAATCACCCTGCAATGGATCTTCAACATGGTGCACACCACAATGTCAGTCAGGAGAAAAGGGTGCAGAGGAAGGAAAAAAAATGAACATGAGTGACATGGAAAAAAAAAATGAGAAAAGAAGAAAACGAACCAATTATAGAGACGTTCATCATGGTTGCTAGAGAGAGGGGTCAAGGTGCACAAGTGTAGGGAGTAAAGATCGAGAGAAGCAAAATTGAAACCGGAAGAAAGAGGGAATAAGCGAAAAAAAAAAAAAACATCGTTTATGATCTCTGGTCAAATATGACCTGACAAAAAGGATTCTGGTGTTATGTTTCGATTATTTTTTGAGTTTTTTTTTTTTTTGGAAAGTTAGTTAACTAATTTTAATGAAACAATGTATTATATTTAAAATTATTTTGTTATAAAGTGGAATAAAAAAACACAAATAGACGATGATTGATTAAATACTTCAAAAATATTCAGCTATTATAGTTGCTAGTTTATATATATATATATATATATATATATATATATATATATATATATATATATATATTTTTTTTTTTTTTTTTTTTTTGCCGAATAATAAAGTTATAGGTAGAAAAATAATATCTCTACGTTGTTAGTATAGTATATAAATATATATTTCCTAAATTTTAGGTTTAATTTTTATTATTGAAATTTGAAAATATATTTTACTTCATCTAGAATAATTATCAATGAAACAAAGTATTTTACAACTCTTAATAATAATATTAATGATATCTATAAAGAATGGATAAAATTTAATATGTGTTTTCTTTTTATTGTACTACTCTAAGAAATTTGATATATATTATTTTTTTATTACGTAATATTTATAAAATAAAATAAAATAACTTCTTTGAATCTAAATAAAAAATTACTTTATGCAAGAATTTTCAAATTTCAAATGATTACGGGTTCATCTTGACTTAATGTTGTAACTTATTTCTTACAACATGATATAAATTTATCATATTTTTTTCTAATGATTACCAAATTCTTTCTCATTGCCTTTTTGATGTCTAATAGATAGTAATTTTTTTTAAAGTATTTCACATGACAAATCTCTTGAATTGTGTATACATCTTTATTTTAATAATATTAACTCATATAACTCAAAAATTGGATTCTTTTAAGATAAGTTTGTAAGTTATGTGTTAGATTATAGTTGATTCTATTAATTATCCATATTTCATACAAATATTTTTCATTATTAAAATTTATTATTGTTTCGATAATCAGAATACCTTCAGTGATAACAATCTTAGTTGTTGTTTTATAATTCTTTCGCCTATTCTTCTTATGTTCACCTTTTTTTCTTCACATGTCATCTATTGTTTTAATTATATTATTTAAGATTTTTTCTTCCCAAAAACTTTAATTTATTATGATTTTGATTTTTATTAGAGTCACTTTATATTAATTTACATCTCAAAATATAGATATTCATAATATTATTATTTATTATATGAGTAACACGTTGATAAAACAAATTTAGTAAACTTTGAAATATAAGTTTTTTACACTATTTTTAATAATGATTACTTATTCAAAAGTATACATGTTTCTTTTTATGAATATTCTTATGTAAAATAATTTGATCTCGTGTAATTTAATGAAAATATTACAAATCTCATTCATTATTATATAAAAAATTATAATAATATTATCATAATTTCTTTCTAATTGAATTGTGACGTGAAAAGTTTTTCTTCGATTATATCTATATAATTATTTTTTCAAAAAATTGTCTCCATTTATAATAACAAGAAATTATTCTCATTAAATTTCTTTATTTCATAAATTTTCATAATTTTAATTCATTATAAATAATGTCTTCACTATTACAAAAACTATTTTTTTTTAATTTAAAAAATAAACAATGTGTTTTAAAAAAATATCAAATGATAATTTCAAATGAACTTCTCTTCTGACCTAAATCTTTATTTTATATAACATGAAAATTATCAGTGATTAAACACATTAAAAATTTTAATTATTATTTTTTAAGTTGAGTCAAAATTTCATTTCATTTTACATGGAGGTGTAGTTTTGACTATATCCATAATAGAAAGTTTATAAAAATTTATTTTGAATTATTTCAATTAGCTATAATTTAATTAACACATATAATTAAACCATATAGTAACTAATTTAATTAACACATATAAACTAATTAATTATCGAAGATGTTTTCAAATTCAATTTGCTCGGGCAGGACCACGTCCCTGCCTTTTGTTTTGTTCCTGGGGCAATTGACATTTTATTAGGAAGATGCAATTTGTGCATTTATTTCTTTTAATATTTAATATTCTATTTTAGAATTAGAATTTTATCTTATTTAATGAAATACACCTTAAATATTAAATTAAGAGCATCTCCAGTTTGGTGATTTTCTTATGTTATTACTTAGAGACTGCTTCTGTTAGAAGCAGAGTAGCTGAAAATAGTAAAATAGTTCTACTAACTTATATTATTGAGGCACTGCACTCAACTGGAGCCTAAATTAATTTGCTTAAAAAAAATAAATAATACCATTTTAGAGTTGATATAGGGAGGAACAAAGGCCACTTCTTCCGTTATGATGTATTTTTCTCCTTTCCTTTTTCCTTTTACAAGAGAATGCAGCTGTGGATTTAAATTTCTAAGACACAATATTTTGTTGTCTGTAGGAACTCGTGTATTCTCTATCTTATGAATAGAAATAAAAGTTTAAGAAAATGAGTGTGATTATGATCCACTCTTGTTTATGATTCCAGTTGCTCCCCTTCATTATGCGGGCTTGATTCCAGTGTGATGAACGAAGTAAGGCGGGTGGAGGCACATCTTCTGCTGCAACTCCATTACCAATTCTTCCCCAACAACTTATGGAGAGCATGTACTTTTGCTAATATTTCACTTCTTCTCTTCACCTTCCACGCAACAGAAGCTTTTGAGTTCAAAGCTGCCGTAGTTAGTGAATTAGTATTCTAAACTTTGTTGCCACCCTTACTATTGTGATTTTACGTATCGCAACTAAAAGCTTTTACATATTAGATATCACTTGGTTAACAAATTTTACCCCTGGTGAAACATGACAATGAGAGACAAAATAGCTTTGACCACACTATTATATACTCTAGTCTAGCACACAAAAATCTACAAGAGCACCACCCAATAAACAACAGTTTTTCAGCCCAAAGCAATTAAACTGAAGGTCATGTCAAGTTATACATACTTTAGTCTATACTCTCTAAAAGCAAATCATCATACTTCCTGCAACCAATTGTAAAGAAGGGCAGGAAATTTCTAGTTTGAGGAAACACAACAATAAAATTAGACAACTCATTCACTTCCACCTGCAGGACCCACAAGAACTCCTTGAGCAGAACCTTCCTTCCTTCCAGATTCATCCTTCACCTCAGCATCAGCCTTCCTTATCCTAATTTTATATTTAGTCTCAAACTCAGTAATTTCCTTTTTCTTCTTTTCCAATGCCTCATTAAGCCTTGCAACAACCTCTTCAAGACCCTCTTTATTTCGCTGCACCGCAGGCAAGACCTCTTTGATGGTTCTCTCCACAAGCACCCCTCCAATCATTCGATAGCATCGTCTAGATTGGTCAAGTGGCTGAATGGCATTGATGACCAATATGTGCTCACTAACTTCCATCTCCAGTTCAGTTATTTTGGAGTAAATTTGGTTGAGCTCAGACCTCATAGAAGCATACATATTTGCAACTGCTTGTTCATTTATTGGTTCCTTACCACCTTCAGCTTTGGCCATGATTCTACACTAATGAAAATAAACTATCCTCAAGGTAAAGAAAGAGAAAAAGTGTAATAAGAATAGCACAAGTATTCGGGGAAAATATTTGAAATATTTTTAGCTTTATCTTTCTTTCAATTCAGTATAATCCTATTCACTCAGTGCTATCCATTATATGAGGAGATATACAGTACAAATAAATAACAACATCATTCATAATTCGATAAAGCAAATCCAAAGGATTGCAAAACAACACATGTTTTGCCTATTTTTTCTCGTAAAATTCCATAAAAGATGAATCTCGGATACATAGAGTTCATTTATTTCTCAGCATTTAATCGAAGTAACTCCTCCTGACAATGGAAATTGTTTATTATCAAGTTTATGCATTCAGCAATTTTATTGTAACCAAATTTTCTACAAGACTGAACTTATGGAATATCTACCAATAACCATCACAGTGAATGAAAAGGACAAGGGAAATTTTTTTTAACTAGCACAAACAGATACAAGAAGAGAGAACACAGCACAACAGATTTTTGACTAAATATTGTTAGTTCATATATCAATGAAATAAAGAAGTTTTCACCATAACATAATATTATCATGATCCATTTGGTTATTTCTACCCTACAATACAAACATAACAATTACATCAGTCAACACCACTAGCCTTTTACAAACTAAAAAATTGTATTTATACCTTCAATAATCAGAGAAAGGTATCACAGGTTCTCAAGGAACATTTAGAGACCAAAGATGTAAAAAGAAAACAGACATATTAGATAATCCAAGGAGCTTTAAAAGTTTATATCTTTCATTAAGAAAGAAAACAGACATTATATGAATTAAAAAACTGTGCAGGAATCACCAAAAAAAAAGGTTAAAAATCATATCAACATTAACTATGTAACATGGCAGTAAAATCTAAAACTGCATCTGGCAGTCTTACAAACACAACAAAATTACATGACATGACCTATCCTATGAAGAAAAAGGATGACAGTCCTATATAGAAATTTCTTTATGATCCCTAATTAGTTTGAAGGTGTCAATGGATTAAAAAAACCCTAATAGCAAGAATTTGACACCTTCACAGGAGCATGATTCCATGACACAAATTTTCCATTAATCAGCAAAATAGAAATCAGATTTAACATTAATTATTATTGCAACTTCAATGGTAAAGTTTTAATCTTTCCATGCACCAACAAGAAAAATCATGCAAAATCAGTAAACCCCACAACTTCAATAGCATCACCTCCAGCTTAGTTTCATTTGTCTTCTCACCTAAGTTTGCAAGTAAACTTAGTTTCAGCACAAAGCAACATCAAGGTTGCTTTTAAATTAAAAGTATTTTTTATTTGTATTTTACAAGAGAATCATTATTTTTATATCAGTCCCATTGTGTTCAACAACATTACAAATAAGATCACTACCCTTAGTCACGTTAAAAAATGCTTTGGTTTGAGGGAGGTGATCAAATAAATTTTATTTTATCGCCTTACTTTTGAAAAAAAAAAAAAAAAATTCGAACCTAAATGACAGTAGTGTAAACTCATTTTTTCTATCAAAAGTTTACAACAGACATTTGATTCAAACTTCTGTTTGTGTTTGCATCTCTTAATCCAAACATGCACAATTGTCACTAACTCAATAGTAAAGTTTGAATCTTTTGATGAACAAAAAACACAACCACGCAAAATATATAAACCCTACAACTTCAATAGCTTAATTATTGATTCAACTTCAGTAATAAAGTTTTAATCTTTAGATGAACCAAATAAATCATGCATAATCAATAAAACTCACAACATAATATTTCAGGGCATATAACCAGATTTCGATTGAGAAAATTAATAACACACAAATACCAACCGAAGAACCCCAATAATTAAATCGTTTCAATCTATGCAATGTCTAGTCACCAGCTTGGAATCAAGATTAAGACAGTTGCACGCACAATCTGAACAGACTCTGCTGAATTAAAAGTAAATGAATAATAGAACTTACGAGGTTGAAGAGGATCAGAATCCAAGGTCAAAACTTAGAGGGGGTCTTCGTTTTGTTCTAACTCAATCCTTGAATACTGTTTTGTGTCAGAGCGAAAATATCAGTGACCCTTTTGCTTCCCCTTAACAGTGACGCTAATCGCAATTGCTATGATAGGGTAGGTTCTGCACCACCTCGATGGATTTTAATCCTACGGTTTGAAATTATTGGGCTAAAGATTTAGGATAAAAATAAAACTCAACAACTATTTATCTTTAATGATGATAGAGTTATTATTTAATTAGTTTAATTATTTTTTATTTAAAATTTAGAATAAATTATTTTTAAGTCCTTCAAATTAAAAAAAAATGTATTAATTCCCCTGACATATTATTTTAATTTTTAAAAACTGTAATTGAAATAATAATAAAAATTTGAAAAATTCATTTCATTCTTTAAATCTAATATTTAGGAACTAAACACATATTTTTCTAAATTTTTATTTAAATTCAAAAATTAAAATTATCCTAAACTTGATAGAATAAAAAAATATAATTACGTGTATTTAATTTAATAGCATGTTAGGAGTTTCTTTTTAATGGGAGATTTTTTTCTTTTAAATATTAATATCTAATTTTTTTAAGTTTAAAATCATGTCAAAAATAATTTTATATTATGATTTAATTTATTTATTTTTATAAATTAAATATAGTTTATATTTACAAAATATTTATTTATTAAATATTTTAATTATAATATTTATTTAACCCTTATTCTTCAATAATATTTAGATTTTTCTTTCCCTTAATATCTTTTAGTTTATCATCTTAATATTTATAGTTTTAAATTGAATTTCAATATTTCAAAATAAACTGTCAATAATTATACGAGAATATAAATTGTTTATCATAAATCAAAATATATTTTTATATGAAAATTATTTATTTACTGTAATTTTTACAATTATATAATGTATATATTTAAAATTGTTTATATATTATACACTTTAGTAATATCAAATAAAAATTTATTGTGTGTAATACACAAGCTAAAATAATTGTGTAGTTTTGTATTTCTTGTTCTAATTATCACCTTTTCACAAACTTGGCATCCAATTTTTATTTGTGCATTTTGCCTCAACTTTTCCAACTTTTCAATATGTGTCATTAATCAATGAACAACATGATCCAAATTTTAGTTCTCTATTAGTACTATAATTACTCTGTTAGTACTCTAATCAAATTTGAACCAAAACAAAAGATGAACTCAGCAGAATTGAACCTTTCACGTAACAGGTAAGATGTAATGAACTATTTCCTTGTATGCATTAATCAATGTTAATTTACAACATACAAAACTTTAAGATACAAAAGAATGAAGATTCAACAAACCTCTGAAGTGATAACAAAACCTCTATCCTTCGGATAGCAACCAATGAAATCCGGCACAAACAGAAGTACTCTAAAGTGGACTAAAGAATATGCAACTTTACAAAAAAATCAAATAAAAACAGAAAATCACTTCTCTTATCTTGGAGGATTGTTTGAGATAGGAAGCATCTCTATTTGTCTACTTTCAACAACTGTCTCATACCCATTCTTCTCAGTTTCCCTACAAATCTGAATATCATTAGGAAAGTAATATTGATAAACAAATTTTACAACCAAACGTGGAAGCAATGCTGCTATTATGATTCCAAGCAACAATAACCAGAACAATCGAGTTCCTGCAGCATGAAAGAAGGCCCTGCATAGTTAAGGAGATGCAAAAGGTTAGTCTGTACATATAGAAACTAAACAATGTAGGATTGCAAAGGCTTTCAAATCTAACATGCACACGATGGCAACATAGAATATCTATGAATTGGACATGGTTTTCTCCATGAATCCATGATTAGTCATACAATACAAGTCTTATCCCACTAGTTGAGGTGGTCACATGGATCAAATTATGTCATTTGAAAACCAAATAAATACAAAACACTTAGATCAAGATATTTTTTAATGGTTTCTCATAAAGCTTTGTTTAGTTTTGTTCTAATTCTTAGGTTTGAAAGGTAAAATAAGTAGCAAGCATATTTAGTCAGGAAGCCTAAGACATAAATCTGCTGTGAGAAAATGATTCAGATGCGGAATTGTCGTTTCCACTCACAGTACTAACAATTGCAATGCAAGATGCATCTTATTAGGTTTAACATTAGATGTTGTTGGTAAATATATGTATATTCCTTGGGAAGGCATGCAGCAAATCTAGCAAGAACAAAAGTAATCAATAATATATTAAGCAAAATTGCAGAACAAGCATAGTAGTTGCATCTGAAGTTTTCAAAACAGAAAATATGGATAACCTTTATATGAATGCTGGGACATAAGATTTGTGGTGTAAAATTAAGGAAGAAAGCAAAATAATGGAGCAGAGGATAATGCATACCAGTAGCCAGGAAGATTGGGGAAAGCATCAATGATCATGACACTAATGAAAGTTGCAACAATAGAACCCCAAATGGCAACATGGGTCACCCAATACCACCTTACAACATCCATGGCCAAGTGCAAATTAACCAAAATGACAACCCCAAAAGTCCAAAGGTCTCCAATGCTGGCCACATCAACTGTGCTATGCCAATAAGCAAAGAGAGGTGCCCAAAAGATGACCATGCTTTGCCACAAAGTATCTAACATTGTCAACGCAAACAATCTCTTGTTGTAGGCCTCATGTCTCTGTCCTGCCCCATAAAGTTGAGGGTACTTTAGGAGAGTCCTTTTACCAAGATCCTTGTCTAGAATAGCAACAACTATGGTTGGCAATGAACTGTAGATTATTGAATATAACGTGGTGCTCCATTCATTTATAGCAGTTGTCAAAGTGAAGGCAGTGAAGAGCACATACCTAGAAACACATACACATAACAAATTTACTAACATGTTAAAATCTGGAGGAATACATCTAACAGCCCAAAAGACAGACAATTATTATCATACTTTAGGAGAAAATTGAACAAGTCAAAAACCATCATAAAAACCATGTGCTTCTATCTTTTTCAATCACAGTGTTGGTTCATGTTTGAATAAAATACAGGCTTACAACCACCAGCGCCCAATAACAAAGACTTTTGAAGGTGTAGTTGCTGGAATAATTTTGAAGTTACCAGTTACACACGCGTAAACATTGTTGGATTATAACTTACCAAAATAGGACTAGAACAAGGACAGCATTTCTGTAAAAATTGTATAGTATCATGTAACCCAGCCGTTGGTAATTCCAGTGCCCATGTATCAATAAGAGAGGAACCAAAAACCTAAACTGCCCCATTGCAAAATCAGATGCCATTACAGCTTGCCGACCCTCTTGTCCACTGATGCCAACTCCAACATCAGCCTTTTGGATCATTGAGACATCATTAGCACCTGTAATGTAGCACATGCATAATAAATTTAATACACAACTCCATATAAATCAAACTGATAAAATACTACTCAATGTTTTCTATTGCTATCAAAATTTTAAAAGGGGAATGACAAGTTCTAGCAAATCAGTTACCATCTCCAATGGCTAGAGTCATGTCAGATGTTCTATTCTTCACAAGGGAAACAATTCCAGCCTTTTGAAGTGGAGCAACTCGGCAACATAGAACAACAGAACATCCACTTGCTAGTTCATATAGCTGAATAAACAGAAGTAGCCAAAATCAGCAAGAAGTAAAGTACACTGTAAACACCAACCAAGATTTAACGGGACTAAACTAACCTGTTCTTCAAGGTCACTTTCAAGAATATGCACAAGACTGGTTCCATCAATAATCAAGGCTATTGGAGTCTCCTCTGAACTTCCTCCAGCACTGTTGGCAACCCTAGATGTGGACATGAGCTTTTTAGACATGACAAGCGCATCTTGCAAACTTTTTCTGCATGCTTCTTTGTTATTGCTGTTGATTATAATCTGATTCATTTTGCTTGTTAGGAGCTTTGAGGAGTAGCCAATGGATATGGCAGTTTCTTGTTTGTCCCCAGTCAGAACCCACACTTTAATCCCTGCAATCCTTAGAGACTCAATGGATTCAGGTACACCTTGTTGCAGTTTATCTTCAATGGCAGACGCTCCCAATATGCTGAGACTATTCTCTACAATGCTAGAAACCTTGCGGAGCATCGCAGCCCTGCCAAACACAGCAGTGCTCGCTGCCTCGAAGGATGAATGCCATTGATCATATTCTGAAGCATTCAAATCTCTCATCCCAATAACAAGTGTCCTCAAACCTATGGAAGAGTAAGAGTGAAGATGTGCTTCAGTGGCTCTTACTAAGTCCATGCTAAATGACTTCTCTATCACATTAAGCATTGATGTGTCTGCTCCTTTGACAAACACTTTCACAGAGTTGTCAGGGTACCCCAATATAACTGACATCCTCTTCCTGTCACTATCAAATTCATGCATACCCAAAACATTGAACCTGCAATGCTCATAATAGGAAGATTCATTAGGGGAAAAAAAGGGTAATAACCATTGTGCCACATTAAAGAGGGTTGAATCTCATGTTTATTACCCAATCGTCAAGATAAGTAAACTTAAAGTCACCAAAAAGAAAAAAAAATAAGTAAATTTTTTATGTGCTGTCCTGCATTATAACATAAATAACTGCAGAGCCAGGGAAGAAGGAAGACAAAAACTGCATATATCATATTTTAAAATGAAGACTTCTTCACCACTACTTGTCATCATATATGTTACTAATAAAAAAGACAAGAAAATCCAACAAAAATATTCAGACATGATTTCCCATATGCTTAAACAACACTAATATTGGACTATGAACTACAAATTGTTTCATCATCTCCATTGTAAAAAGTATAAAGCTTGTCAGTAACAATTTGTGGAGAAAGAGAGGAAAGAACGATTAAAAGAAAATCTCAACTTACTTTTGTCTTTGTCCATGAATATCAATGACTATATGGCCAGAGGTTCGTTCAATTAGCATAAAACCATAGGCTGCAGCAGCATAAGCTAATGCTTGTTCATCTGGTGATTCTCCTTGGTAATCCATCAGCTTGACATCAGGGTCAGGTGAGTCTACAACCAGAGGCACAATAGTGTTGCATGTTGCCAGTGCTAGAAAGAAATCATGAATCCGTTTACCCTCCAAATTGAGAAATTCACTTCTTGCTAGCTGCAAAAGCTCTGGATTAACTTTCACCTTCATCTTTGGTCGGAAGACCTTTCCATCCACTAAGCAGATAATAACACAAAACAAACGTCTAGTATTATTATTTCGCTCATAAACAAAACCATGAGGCATTAAAGGCAATGCTAAAAAGGTGTGTACTAGAAGTAAATAAATCTCACCTTCCACAGAATGTTCAAGTTGATCACCCTCCATGCTGCTCTCTGTAAAACTGTAATCAACCCCCCAGATGCTTGCACATTGAAACTCCATCTTGTTCTGAGTTAGTGTGCCCGTTTTATCTGAGAAAACATACTTAATCTGCCCCAAATCTTCATTAATGTTCAAAGCCCTGCACTGAAACCTTGATTTTGTTTCCTCATCATACATTCTGTTGTCTCGGATCATGAAGAAGGCCTGACCAACCCTCACAAGCTCCATGGAAATGTACAAGGAAATGGGAATCATGACTTGGAACACTATAACTGACATGAGGAATGTGAAGACAACTTCCCACGCCCATCCATAGTACTCGTAGCTTTCCACTTCCCCCTCTTCTGAAAAGTCTAGTTTCCTATAATATGGCAACAGATTCAACTCATCCTTGTGGCGCTTCAACCACACAGCAGCACAAACTGAGGTGATTGTGCACAATGCCACGAGGAAGAAAGAAAGCCAAATGATCTCAAAATTCATGCGTGTCTCCAATCTGCTCCTCTTGGAAGGAGCTCCTGAGCTATTGAGCATAGCCTTGGTTTCACTCCCACAATACGCAGCAACACCAATAGCCCAATTAGTATTCTTGAGCTCACATCCACGAAGCACAATGTTGGAGGATCCAAGTGACAACTTCTTGCCATCAACTTCCATGTTAGCCAGAAATCCATATATATTCCTATTGGGTTTCTCACACTTAATCACCCCACCAAACCCCTCTTTACCACGCGTCTCTTGCTTTGCGTACCTTGTCTTCAAATTGGACTCCCCATCTAGATTAATAGTCTGCACATATGCAACCCCGGTTGGATCACTAGTTGAGAGCAACACAATATCACAGGGTATGGGTTCATTTGCCTTGATCCTTATCACCTCTCCAACTCTAACATCCCTCCACCTCTTCTCCACAAAGTTTCCATCAACCAAAACTGATGCCAACCTATTGTTCTCAATTTTATCACTGTTGTGCCTTCTCCAATCCTCATACGCATCCTTCACAGCTGTGACAAACAGCACAAAGGACAATGGCAAGATGGAAACAGCTCTTCCAAACACTGCAAGCTGAGGAAGCTGATTGAGAATGGCAATTATGAGAAAGTACACGTAAGCAATCCTGTGGAACTGTTCAAAAAGGTTTTTGGGAATGAAACTGAGGAGGGAGTATTTGCTTGTACGAATAGAGTTTCCAGCAAACACAAAGGTCTCATTGGTTTTCAAAGGGTCATTTATGTACACTAACCTCGCATCCTCATCTCTGAGTTCCCTCTGTGACACGCTTAGCCCGTCAGAATCTGCACCCTTTGAGCCATACCTAACAGGTATGGATTTGGATCCTGAACCGCTCAAACTCACTTCAAGGATAGAGTTGTTGCTCTTGCTCCCAGAAGAGTGAATGGACATGGAACTTCTGCGTGATGATGAGTTAACAAGAGTGTTCTCAAATGGGTGCAAGGCGTTGCTGGAACTTGACTTCGACGTTGGAAGTTCAGGAACAATAACAGCGGGAGGGTCTTGTTGGTAGTTATCAGGTGTTGTTGTTGTTGGTGGTGTCATGATCACAAGTGGCCTCTTAGAACCCATGATGCATAAGAGAATGAAAACATGTGAAGGCTTGGAGAAACAAACAAAACTTCAACGTTGGACAAATTAAGGAACTAACCAACTAATGTCGTGGTTGTGCAACAACTCTGTATATGTATGTAGCAGTTTTAACATGAACACTTTGAGAAGAGCAGTTGAAAAGAGAGAAAAGGGTATATAAGAAAGAGGTGTGAGATTGTTGAAGAAGAAGAAGAAGAAGCGTGTTGATGGGGAAGATGATTAAGGTCAAAGACGTTGTTGAGGGAAGAAGAAGGAGCTTTGAAGAATAAGTCGTAATGGGTGGCGACAGCATGTTTCTCTAGAAACACACAATAAAAAATTAAATTATTCACATACTATTACTTTTACTTGTAATTTATATCCAATTAAGAAAAATAATTATTTTTCTTTCGCATTAGTCGAAACTGATCAATAGCCTATTCTCATTCAAATTACCTATTAGTGATGTAAATCATTTCACCCATTTTAATTTTAAAAACTCATATTAAATTTTTTGCTTAAATAAGTTTTAAATATTTACATAATTGAAAAGTAATTATTTAGAGAGAGAAATGAAGATAATAAACGTTTCTTTGGTTTCTTTGACTACTGATTATTAATAATAATAATACAATTCCATTGTGTTGTGTTTATCTGTGGAATTGGGAGAAAAAGTCATTCTTGAAGGAGAAGAATGAAGATATGCCATGTTTGGGTCAATACCCAACTTAAAATATATTCAATCTTGGAAAAAATATATTATTATATTTTTGGTGAATGAATCTTGGCATAGATGGATCATGTTCTAGAAAATCATCTATTTAGTATTGTTATTATTATTTTAGAATTTGACTGAAAAAAAGAGCCTTTAATTTAAGAAATGGGATTATAATCATTGGAGGTAAGATTTTACATTTATGTGGAATCATATCCTATAAAAATTCTTACCAACATGTTAAATAATTAATTGAATTTATTCTTGTAAAACAAATCAACTATAATATAAGTTTATCCTATCAAATATAACATTTATAAACTCTTTATTGAGTGTTGTTCATAATATAAGATCAATTTTAATATTATCCACTTTAAAATTTTTATAAAATATGATTTTATTTTTAAAAGACAAAAATATTATATATATATATATATATATAAATTATTTTTTGTCTAAAATTTATAAATATATTGAAATATGAGTTTAAACTTTAAATTAAATATCTGATTTTTCATCAAAATCTGTAATAAATTAATTACATTAAATTAACATAAAACAAAAAGTCAAAAAAGTGTATTTTTTAAAATAATAAAAGTAAATAGGAACAAAATTATTATTTTATTGGCAGCCGCCTCTCTGTGTGGTTTAAATGTGAAGATTAATTTAGATTTGTTGGTTAATTTTTAATAATTTTGATTTTATTATAATTTAAATCACTAATAATGGTTTAGAGAAAGGACAAGAACAAGGCTGCTTTAAAGGAAGAGCCTTTATAATAAATCGATTTGATGTGATGATTTGTTAAAATGGATTTGGTGTTGTCGACATATATCGTAGTTGGTACAATACAATGTCATTTTTGATTTGTAGTTAATTAAATAAATAATTGATTTTTTTAATAAATTAAAAAAATCAATTTATAATATTTTTTTATATTTAATTAGTTTAATTTTTTTTATATAAAAAATAGCTATTTTAATAATATTTTAGACAACAATTACATAATTCTAATACTTTACCTAAACGAGCGACCAACCAAATGAATAGTTACGTTAGAATAGATGAAAATGTTTATTAAATATACCCATAAATAAGCTTATTTATTCGTTATGCTAACTTTATTTAATTATGTTCTAATAATTTAAAATTTTTTTAAAAATTGTAGACTTTATATACTTAATAATTAATAACTTTTAATTTAACCTTTGGTGTAGTAAATTTATGTAAAAATTTATTTAATAAATAATAGAAAAAAATGTTATGTATGAATAAAATAAAATGCATGTAATGATTATGACAGCCTAACTAACCCTTTGTTTTTAGGGCTTTGTCTCATTTCATAAAATTCATCATTCGATTTTCAAAATATATAATTAATAATTAATAATTGGATTAACTAATTTTAATAAAAAAATTAAAATCGAATTTAATATATATTTTTTATAAAAATATATAATATATTTTAATCTTTTATCACATATTAATTACATTAATTTTAAATAATAATTATTTTATTTTAACAATTATTCATATTACTTTTTTTAATATATTTTATATTTTTTAATTTTTATTCAATGATCATCAGAAATTTTTATTATTATTTTCTTATAAAAAATATTATTTTTAATACATTTATTATATATTTATTATATTATAAATACAAAAGTTTATATAATGAAATCATATTTTATCCTTTCCAAAGCTTCACATTTTTTTAAGGAATTTTTCAAAACGTTTTATTCACATGAATATTAAAAAGGGAAACATGTATGAAAAAAACAAAAACTTCCATTCATCAATATTATGAGAATAAAAAACTACAAAAAATACAATTGAGAATTAATATTTCTTTTTATTCTAAAATAAAATAAAATAGTAAACTCTACGTTAGAAAAGTTAAATAACTATGTTTTATTAATATATTTTTTTAATTCCGTCTTATTGTGAATTTTTAGTATCATTATATATTATTAAATGATTTAGATTTAATCATCATTTCTTATTAGTTAAAAATTATACTATATGATTCCAAGGCTTTTAGTTTCACTATTCATTTATTCTTCTTCACTTGATATGATTTTTCATGATCCTTCCTTTGCTTTGTGAAACCACCTTTGCAGTTGTCTCCAACATAAATTCTGTACTTGTGTTTTCCTTTTGTCATGTTTTCGTGAAAGAAAATGAAAGAAACTAGTTCATATTATTAAGACAATTTGAGAAGTAATAGCATGACTATAGCGGACTCTTGATAATAATATTGCATGATTATTCTAGTATGATCTATATAATTCAATAATTTTAACCATGAATTGCACCCTATTGGAAACCAGGAAAACGTTGTCGTTCCTGCTTCGAAGTTGCACAGCACATTCCGCTGCTTTGCAATGCCACGCACAGAGCTTCGTTCAAGGTTTGCTTCCCAACACCGTTCTCCAAACTGACCTCCTGTTGGTGTACTCTAAACTGGGCCTTCTCCATGAAGCTCGCAAAGTGTTCGATAGAATGCTCGACAGAAAGAACATGTACCCTTGGAATGTCATGATTGCCTCCTATGCCCAGAATTGCATGTATTCTGATGCCTTGATGGTTTTTCGCGAGTTCAAGTACTTTGGCTTTAGGCCTGATCACTATACCCTGCCTCCGTTGTTCAAGGCTTCTGTGGGAGTGGATGATGGTTGCATTGGAAGTACGTGTCATGGTTTGGTTATAAGGCTTGGGTATGAAGGATATGTTGTTGTGGCAAATTCCGTGCTTGAGTTTTATGTTAAGTATGGGGCTGTACTTCAGGCTTGCTGTGTGTTTTCCAATATGTTATGTAGGGATACTGTGACGTGGAATTTGATGATCTTGGGCTTGGGAAGGGCCGGTTTGTGTTCGGATGCAATGAGTTGTTTTAGGGAGATGCTAAGCTTGGATAGGATGATGAGGGTAGATTTCATGACTCTTCCTAGCGTTTTGAATGCTTGTGGAAAGGAAGGAGACTTGTTGAAAGTGAGAGAAGTCCATGGGTATGTGGTGAGAAGTTTTGGTTTTGATGTAGATGCTGCCATTGGGAATGCGTTGATTGATGTGTATGGCAAGTGCGGATGCTTGAAAGATTCGGAAAAGGTTTTTAGGACAATGAGCCGCTTGAATTTAGTCACGTGGACCACCGTGATATCTTGTTATGGGGCACATGGGAAGGGGGAGGAATCTCTTTTGCTATTTAAGAAGATGGTAGATGAAGGGTTTAGGCCAAACCCAGTCACACTCACGGCAATCTTGGCCAGTTGTAGCCGCTCAGGTTTGATAGATCAAGGCAAGCAAATTTTCAGCTCAATTCGTTCGGACTATGGATTTGAGCCTTCTGTTGAGCATTATACTTGTATGGTGGATCTTCTGAGTCGCTGTGGGTATCTTTTGGAAGCACTTCAATTGTTAGAAAGCATGAAATCATCAGAGACAGGAAGCATGTGGGGTGCCCTTCTTGCTGGTTGTGTAATGCATAAAAATGTTGAAGTTGGACAAATTGCAGCTCATCGGCTATTCCAATTAGAACCAAATAATGCTAGCAACTACGTAGCTTTGTGTGGTATCTATCAATCTCTTGGTATGGTTGATAGATTGTCATCTATTAGAGCAAAAATGAGGGACTTAGGTTTGGTTAAAATTCCTGCTTGTAGCTGGATCAATAGAGCTGGAAGGACCCATATTCGACCAAGGGGACCTGTCTCATCCACTAGCTCAAATGATTTGCAAAATACTAATTATTTGAATCATGATTTGAGAGTAGAAAATCTGCTACATGATGATGATACCTTGGCCATGGGTTTGTACTTGTAAAGCATCTGATTATAGCCAGGAAGGCTCAGTATAAGGGTAATGTTCCATAAATTTAACAGCTTAATATATTTTTTGCAGGAATTATTTTTTTTTGTTCCTGGAAACATCTAATGTTCATAACCTTTGCATTCTTGTCTTCCACTGGCGAAAGACATAAAAAATATCTTAGCTAAAGGAGCCCTTTCTTGCTGTTAATGTATGTTATCAGTATTGCTTCAGAATGATATGTGGGACGTCTTTTTATTAACTGTTCTGTTTCAATTGTATTTGAAATTCTTAATCATGTATAAAATAGTTTAATTTTACCAAAGCATTTCCTTGTAAAAAGTTATTTGTATTGTTTTAGAATGAGTAGTTTGATGCTTGGCGGTATTATAATTTGAATGAATTTCAAAATTTTTGTATTTTATATCTATGTAATGCTTGAATTCTTCATTTATGCACTTTTCTTTATACTTGATAACTTGCAAATTGATTACAGGATAATGAACGACAATTCTCCACTCCATGAGAAGAAGTATTTGATATTCTACTGTGCGTACTATTTAATACTTATCTCAATGTGATAGTGTCAATTACTTAGTGATCGATTATGTGAAACTTAGGACTTAATTGATTAGATCTGATGTGCATGTGTGTAGTGAGAGTGAAAATTGTCAGTATCTGTAGTTTGCTATGTGTGGCAACTATCCTATAATGGTGCCAAATATTCTGCCATTCTCATTGTATGACTACTATCTCTCTTGAATTTGTTTATATGAATGCGTCTCTATTTTCTTATTTTTTGTTTCCTGGCTTGCTCTTCATCTTATTATCAATATGTGCTATTCTTAACTGGTGCATTTGTTTATTTATTGTTCTAGTAGTTCTGGCTTAGTTCTTCTATCTTCAATGTTGTGTAATCTTTTCTAACTTGAAGGTATGCGGTGCTTGTAAATGCAAGACAACAACCATTTTGTTGCTTCTGAGATCATTTTCTAAATCTTTGCATGATGTAAGTTGCATCCACATAGAATCTTATTGTTTGTATAAAAATAGAAAAGTAAAGAAAGAAAAGTTGAACTTTATTTATCATAAATTAGCTTTGCCCATGGTTCTTTATTCATGAAGTACTCCTTTCCATGTTTCTTATTCATCTTTCTACTTCACTTTCTGTTCTGAACATGAGGCTTCACATCATAATTCTCATGACGCATAGAACAAAGTTGGCCTAAATAATAGAACACTACATGCTTCTTCACATCGTAGAAACTGCCCTGTTTCATACTCGTTTGTAACTAAAATGTTTATTTCAGGTTTTAGTTGGAGATTAGGATCATAATGTCACTAATGATCATCAGCCGAAGCTAGTTGTTAGAGATTTCACATTAAATTAGTAATTTTATAATAATTAATATTGTCTAACAATAACAATTATTATTATTATTTATATAATCAACTAATAATAATAATAATAACAATTATTGATATGGTAAAAAAATAATGATGATAATAACACTAAACAACAGGGAAAGATGGGAATAAATATTTAATTTGTTTTCTTTTAGCTTATGACATGAGTAAATATTTTAGTTTTTTCCATTTTTTAGTTCATTTTACTTTGAAAATTAAGTAAGTTTCATCTTATTCATCTAAACCTCTCAATTCTTGTTTTTTTTTATCTAAATATGTCAAATTATGAATACTAAATGCAATAAAATAAAAATAATTATTTAAAAATAATAGAATTTGCAAATATGAAATATAAAATTGATTTTTGTTAAATAACTCTGATAAGAGATTCATATAAAAAAAATAGATAAGTTTTATTTTTTTAGTTTATAAAAATAGTTTTAGATTAGTTTTAAAAAATTTAAAAATATTGATAACATTAATTTAAAAATTAATTTTTATAAAAAATATAAATTTTGTAACAAAAAAGATAAATAATATAATATGATTATAGGTAAAGATGTGGATATAATTAATAAAAATTAAAAACATTTTTTTATTAATTTTAATTACTTAATATTTTTATTGTCAACAAATTAATTATCAAACAAATATTTTAATTTTTAAAAACTAAAAAAATAGAAATTATTTTAATTAGATAGAGAAACAAACTCTTATCTGTAAAACTAAACGTAGTCGTTTTCAGGGGAGAGTGAGCGAGAGAAAGAAACGACGGTAGTGGGTGGTATAAAACTGTCGCTTTATTTCTTAAAGAAAAGGAAATGAGTTAAGAAACGTCGCAGCGAGCGATGTCGGAAGAAGAATTTGATTTCGAGAAGAAGGTTTCGCTGAAGGAGACGATGGAGGTCGATCAATCCAAAGTCCTTCTTCTGCTTCGCGATTTCCTCTCAATTCAGCAACGCAGGGCCGAAGCATATTCCAAGCTCAAAAGGTTAATTAATTACTTACAAAGCTTTTTGGTTTCCGTCAAATTATATGTCAAATCACTTTTTTTCTGCGAGTTGTTTGAATCCATGGCTCCGCCGATGTTATTGATACCGATACTTTAGGGTTCACATATTTGAGCTATAGGGAAAAATAGTTTTTTTTTTTTTTTTTTTAATTTGCTGATAGAAAAGGGTTCCATACTATACAGAAAACAGAGAAAACAAGAAAAAGTTTCTTTCACATCCGTGAACAACTATTTGAAAATAGGAAATATATTAAAATTAGGTGACAATATGTGATTAAAAAGTGGATATATAAATGAAAAAGGAAAATAGAAGCACAAGTGCACCTTTGAGATTTTTTTTTTCATTTAATTTATTTTTCCTGTGACTGAATTAGAATGTATTGTCATCCAATCCTAGATTAACATATATGAGTACATGTATGATAAATTTGTTTATTTTTGTAATAACTGCTTTAAATTTCGTAGGTAGAATGAGTTTTGATAAATTGGCAATGTATTTTTCTATTATAGAAATTAAACCCCTAAACGAGTCAATGTTACTTTTCCATGACTAGTTTAATAATTGGAGTTTGTCTTTATAGTGTTTACTAAAGTTAATTGCATTGGAATTTGACACTTTGGTTTGATATCTTACTTCTCAGGGGGTTTTCTGACTACATGGCAAATGGAGGGGAATTGGCTTATAAGCAGCTTTGCGGTGAAATGACAATAGAGTTTAATGATTGCTCGAAAAAAGTGGGACCATGATCCCAACATAATTAGTTTTTCTACTCCAAAAAAAATGGGTTTTGTTTTATACTGCATTAGTTTAACTTTTTATATTTTCTTCTTCTTTTCCTGATTTAGCATAGGTTCTTGAAATGGAGGCATTGTTTAGGAGCTCTGATTACTGCCGATCCGATCTAGCACAGCTTCTTAGAGCTGTTCAAGATCAAGAAAAGCAGAATCTGCTTCTGGTATGTAACTGATTAATTTTATGAATAAAGTAGTTCCTTTAGTGAAACAAAATTCAATGTTTTAATTGTTTTGATAAATCTATGATGTTGTACTCTGCTTTTCATAACTTCTCTCTTTCTTGAATTGTTTATCAAAATAAAGCATGTTACCAAAAATGTTTTGAATTTAATGTGTTCTGTGTGTCATCTATTGTATATATATATTGTATATCCCGTTGTTCTTCTATTGTTTTAATTTATTTAAGTGTTTCATTAAGATTGTAAATAGAAATACTATTAAATTCACTATACGTAGTTATATAATAAATTGATGTTGTTAGAATATTTCTTCCCGGTATACACTTAAGCCTAGGATTCTTTTCTTTTTCGTGACTCACATAACTATTGTAAGCTTCAAACTAAGTCTTTCAAGAAATACTGAAGTTTATGCATTTAATAATACTCTTGGTTGGACTAGGTTACTTTCTCCAACTTAATAACTGAAACCTTTCATGATTCAAATTGAGGCAGCAGCACTTTAGGCATATTTTATCGCATGGTCACCAGGAATATTCTACAACTGATTCTAGAATTGTTCCATTTACAACTGATTTCTAGAGCACATATTAAGAGTAAGACGAATGAATACTGACCATCAAATCTTATCACAAGTAGTCAAGATTAAAACAAAAAGTCCTGAGTTTTCTTAAATGTCATAACATTTTTAAGTGATGTGATCCCGTGCCTTTAAAATTATGGTTATATTTAGCAATGTAAAAATTACTTTCTCGCTGCATATTGGTTGAATGGAGTGATTTTATTTTGTTTATCCTCTTTCTCCTAGGTGGTGTTACTTGTGACATCAATTAGTTATTCTACTGGCTCTTAAGTCTTTATGACTGCAACTCCTTATTTTTCAGATTACTGTATTGCAATAAGAATTTCAATTAATTAAAATGTTTAGTCTTTGCTGAAAATGACAATTATTCTACTTTATAGACTGTCACCATTCAGATGTTAAAGAAAGCAGGTCGGCCATCTGAACGTTTGGTGAGCCATGAGAATTGCAAATTTGCAAAACCAACAGAACATGAGTGTGTTCATGTTCAGGAGATTACTGAAGCCTCTGGAACTGAAGAAGCAGAAGCAGATGCTGAGTATGACAATGCTCTAAATGAAGCTATTAGAGGTGTTCAGGATGTTGTCATGACCATAAATGAACACCTAGAAGAAGTCAGATATGAAATTGCTGCCCTTGAAGCTGAGTGATTATTTTCCTTCACATTTACTTAAATATTAGTGACTGTTATTCACAGTCAATCAATCATATAATCATTCAGACAAAATTTTTACGGGTCTGCACTCCGTGAAATGTATATAGACTCCTGAAAAGAAATGCAGTTCATGAATCTTTTCCAATCAAGAACAAGTTAAAATGCATTTTGCTACTTGAGTTTTTTATTGTCACTAGTATATTGGTTGCCATGTGAAATCAATTTTGTAAAATACATAGTATTATATTCACCACTGATTTTTATTCCAGTGAGAAAAAATCATTTACATTTTTTTATGCGACTATGAAGCAATTCATTGTTTGTGCGAAAATCACATTAGTGCTAAAAGTATATAAAATGATAAATTAAACTAACTTTTTTTTTAATAATATCATATTACTATTTCAGTCTTGTTGTTCCACCTTTTCCAGTTTTATTCTATTTAAAACATATTTATATTGTAATAAATTAATTTTAATAATACTTTATTATTTTTTATATTTAAAAATATTTATATATTATAATATTTTTATTATTTTTATTAATTGTATATACATTTTAATTTTTTATTAAATATTTATGTAAAAAATATTTTATAATTTGTATAAATCTTATGGATATAAAATATTTATAAAATTGTTATTATTAAAATTTTCCTCAAAATTATGATTTTACATAAATTAATTATAGAGTTTAAGATTTTTTTAATTACTTCTTAAATTTATATTAATAAATATTAATATATAATTTATGTTGGATAAAATTAAATAAAGGATAATTAGTTTAAAAATTTGTAGAAATATTTTGATGGGATAAAATTAAATAAAAGATAATTAAATTAAAAATTTATTGAAATATTTTGATATTTTTATATGACGACATGTTATTCTTGATTTTAAAAAGATAATATTAAAGTTTTAGAAATTCTTTATATATACGAATGTAATATACGTATTTGGAATAACCAATAATCAATAAAATTCAGTTTTTTAAAATATTTTTGTTAAATTAGTATCAAAAGTTAAGATTTTTCAGAAGAGTTAGATTTTGAATTTGAGTGTAAAAATGGTTTGTTTGACTAATGTTATCGGGTGTCCTTGTTTACAAAAGATGTCATTTATGATAGGTGTATGTATGACAATGGTAACGGGTTTTATCACCCTAACTTTTTTTAACCGTTACTGTCTTTTGATGTTAAAAATTAAATTTTTTAACTTTTAGGTTTTTCCGCCAACATTTCATGTCTTCGTCCCGTCCTTTGTATATGTTATTTAAAAAAAAAATATATATTTATAATAAAATAATTTTAATTTTATTATACATAAATAAATATTTATAATTTTACTATTTATAATTATTATTCTTAATTAAATATATATTTTAATTGTATATATATTAAAATATGTATGTAAAATAAATATTTAATCATTTTTTATACAAAAATATAATATTTATAATTTTATTGTTTTATATTGTATCTAAACATTTGATTATATATATAATTTCATTTTTTTTAGTTTTCATTTAAAAATATGAAATATATAATTTATTAGAAAATATTTTATAAGTTAATTATTATTTAATTAGTTCAAAGTAATAAAAGTTTTAATTATTACTTTTTTTAATCCTTTAAAATATAATTATTTTACTGAAATAAAATTTGATATATGACAAATAAGAATAAAAAGATAAAAAAAATGATATAATAAAATTTAATAAAGATAAATTATAAATAAAATAATATATTTACTAGTAAGATTTATGTATAATATTTAGAAAAAGATAAAAAAGAAGAAAAATTAACTTTGTGTTAATCAAATTGGTTGAAAAGATTTAAAAAATCAAATTGATTGAAGAGATAAAAGAAACCTGAATAGGTAAAAGGAAAGAGAAAGAGAATAATATAATGAACTAATTGATGTAAAAGACTAAAACAGATAAAAGAATAAAAAAATGGGTAGAAGAAAAGTAAAAATGAAAAAATATAACAAAAATGACTTTATATATAATGGAGAAAAAAAGAAATATTCTAAAATATAAATTTAAATATAAAGTCGAGGTAGGGATGAGGATAAAACCGATGTGAGGATTGTATTACCCATTTTTACCCCCGAAGCGGGAAAAACTCAAACTCGCCTCCGGTAACTCGATTTTTGCCGTCAAACTCGGGACAATGACGAATTGATTCCCGCAGGTATAAGTTTAATTGTCATCCATAAATAGGTGGAGTATCCAATGGCGTTTATTCTCAAAGTCTAAGATAATTGGGATGTAGTGGAGAAAAATTTTAAAGAATCGAAAAGCACTGAAAGACTATCAGCATCCACACTCAAATTGAAGGAGAAACGTTCGAAGGACAGTGTTACTTTGTATACATTGCATCGAGCAGACAATTCTAATTTTGAGAAGATAGTAGAAGTTAAATCTGCAAAAGAAGCATGGACAATGTTGAAAACAACACAGGGGCAATGATCAAATTAAACAGGTGTGATTACATATATTATATGGTGAATTTGAAAGCATGAGAACGAAGAAGTCGAAAAGAGTTTGGTAGTTCATCGTGAGTGTTTAAACTGTAGTGAATCAGCTTAATCGAGATAAAAAGGCAATTTCTGAAAGTCTTATTTTACGAAAAATCTTAAGGTGGTTAACCAGTGACTTTGAGAACAAAGTGTGTGCAATAGAATAATCGAGGGACTTGTCTGAGCTCACTACACAGGAGCTTCCTGGTTCTTTTGGAGTCTATGAGTATCAAAAGAAGAAAACGAAAGAGGAGACAATCGTTCAAGTACTTCAGAGCGAGACAAAAGAGGAGAAAATCCTTTATTCTCATAACAGTAGAGGAAAAGGGTGAGGACATAAAGGTTGAGAGCGAGTTAGCTCAAGTGGTGAGAAGGAAGAAGGAGATCAGCAAAAGGATGTGGTTAGAGAGGAAGTCGATCGATGAGTCACTCAAATATTGAGTGCTTTAAGTCTGACAAATATGGTCACTATGAGAAATATTGCTACTCAGGCAAGTGATTTAATTATCGAAATGTGAGGTATTTTGCCAAAGAATATTAAAATGTGGGAGAGACTTATCTCGTAGAAGAAACAAAAGTAGGAGAACCAACATTATTGATTGTCAGCTACAACTCAACAATACACTTGGAAACATATTACAACTTGGACAGTTCGATTTGGTGCCTAGATAAGGGTGTAAGTAATCATATGTCTAGCGACAAGCATTTTTTAAAGAGCTAAAAAGGGTAGAGGTTGGTAGTGTATCATTTGGCAATGCCTCAAGAAGGCAGAGGCTGGTAAAAGGCAGACGAACAATCCACTATTTGAAGAAGGATGATCTAGTCGGGGTCGATCTAAGATGTGTATTATGTTCCTAACCTCAAAAATAACATTTTGAGTATGAGACAATTAATGTAGACAAGATACTCGACTTTCATGAAAGACCGAGTACCATAGTTGAAAAACAAGCTCGAAAGGTTGATTACCCAAGTTAAGATAAAAAGGAACATAATGTATAAGTTGTAGTTGAAAAGTATTTGGAGAAAGTGTTTGACACTTAACATATAGGACACATTGTTGATTTAACACCATCGACTTGACCACTTGAATTTTGGTGAACTAGCCGAGCTATCAAAGAAGAACATGGTGTTCAGACTACTGAGCTTGGAAAATGAGGGAAGATTTTGAGAAGAGTGTGTACTCCGTAAGATAATTAGGACCCCTTTTTTAAGGAGTGCCAAATACGGGGCAAATGGACAACTCAAGCTAATTCATATCGACTTGTGTAGGTTGATTACCCCTAAATCCTTTTGTAGTGAGAAATATTTTATGACTTTTGTCATGAATTTTCTAGAAATATGTGAGGGTACCTGTTGAGAGAGAAATATGAGGTGTTCAAGAAATTCAAGGTAATGGTTGAAAATATGATTGAGAGGCATATCGAGTCAATCCGATCTAATAGAGGTAGAGAATTTACATTAACAACTCATAAAATACTGTGAAGATAAAAGTATAAGGAGGTATCTAACAGTCTCGTATTCACCACAACAAAATGGTGTGATTGAAAGGAAGAACCAAACCGTTCTCGACATGGTTTGATAGATGTTGAAGAGAAAACATATGTCAAATGAGTTATGGGCAGAAGCAGTACAGTGTGCCATCTATATTCAAAATAGATGTCAACATGTAAAGTTACAAGAGGCATGGAGTGGTAAAAAACTAATCGTGTCTCATCTCAAAAAGTTTAGAAGTATTGCTTATGGAGTAGTGTCTTCTCAATAACGGACGAAACTTGAAGATAGGAGCAAGAAATATGTATTTATTGGTTATGGTGAAAAATCGAAAACCTATAAGTTGTTAGATCTGATCAATAAAAGGGTGGTCATAAGTCAAGATGTTCGTTTTGATGAAGCAAGTGAGTGAAATTGGGAAGAATCGGAGGAAGATAGAGGAGGTCGAGCTACTTCACCACCAACTATTGTCAGCTTGGAAGGCGAGGAGGACGACGAACCACTACCCGAAGTACGAAGTTTGTGAGACTTGTATGATTCAACTGATGAAATTCATGTTGTTTGTCTTTTAGCAGATTTCGAGGGCATCACATTTAAGGAGACAGTGCACGATGACAAGTGACAAGCTACTATGATGATAAGATCCAAACTATAGATCAGAATGACACTTGGGCAATGATCGAGTTGTCGAGCTATGTTTAGCCTATTGGCTTGAAGTGGGTGTTCAAGAAGAAAATGAATGTATAAGGCGAGGTAGAGAAGTATAAAGCTCGATTGGTTGCAAAATGCTACATACAAAAAGTAGGGATTAACTATGATGAGGTGTTCGCCTCAATGACGAGGATGGAGATTATTCGGCTGCTAATCTCTCTAGCAACACAATATAAATGGTCGAGCATGCAAATAGACGTCAAGTTGGTATTTTTGAATGGTGTGTAATAGTTGAAGGTGTATATTGAGCCATAACTTGAATACGTGATGA